CGTTGACTAAAGTGTCGACGTGATGGATGCAGATGTCGATTCAATCGATATCGATGATGATGACGACGGCGATTCAGGTGTATTCAGCATCGCCAATGACTGCTACAGTGAGGACGATGACGCCATCACTGGTGAAGACAACGTTCTTTCAGCAGTGCGCAATGCGCACTGCTGTTAACAAGGATGAAACAGCAGAGAAATTTCTGCTGACTCGCGAAGCGGTTGTCCGCTTCGTTCAAGACTCTATTGCAGATGCAACAGATAAGTAGAAAAGAAACGCAGACAAAAATGGGAGAGAAAATGTTCTTAAATTTGATGAAGGAGACCTAGTTTTACTTTCAACCGTAAATCTACCGAAACACGCAGTGACAAACGTGGGCAGCAGTAAATTACTGCCCAAAAATTTCGGTCCATTCGTTTTTTGCGCTAAATGGGCAACGCATACACGATTGAACTGTCCCGTAAGATGCGAACGCATCCTACGTTTTACGTTGAAATTCTCCGTCCGTACTATTAGTACGAGACCGTTTCGAGTGGAGAATAAGACCCTCGCGGTCAGAATAGAGACCAACTTCGTGTAACCCCCCCCCCCCCCCCCCGTTTCAACGGGCCTTCTGATCGACTAGCAAAGCGACCTGCTCACGCAGTTGAGCAATGTCCAGACGAGCAGCGGTCATCTCGTCACGAAGAGAGCGAATCGAACGTTCGTGATCTAAGGAATTGTAAATATCCTTCACAAGGTCATGGAGCTTAAAACGCTGAGTCCGTTCATGGGCCAAGTCATCGTGTAACTGTTCCGTTACACAGTTCACTTCCTGAACATCAAGCTGACCCCACCCTTGAGCCGAATCAGGTGTTTCCGCCTCTACCACATCATTTGGTATATTCTCGTGGTGGTCAAAGCGTTCTGGCGCATCGTATCTTGAACCACCGCGACGTGAAGGGTGTCCGGAAGAGTTACCTCGTCCGCTGGCGTGGCTATTCACCGTCCCGGGACAGCTGGGAGTCTCGCACCCAGCTTATTGTTGATGTCCTGGGTCTTGTCGAGCAATCAGACGAGTCCCACCCGCTGCGATGGAAGAAGGGACGTCTATAAACGACCTCCCCGAACGCGAGTACAGGGACTGCAAAGTGTCAATCACTTCAGAAGAGACGCGCGCCCTCTTTTAGGGAACATTAGGGAGGCAAGCATCTCTAGGGGCACGATTTGCACTGTTCAGGCACCCTGGACATGGATCGACCCACGAAAGACAGGGTATCCCTGCCTTTCTTAACAGTCGGTGCAACTTCTTTCGTGCCCCGACTAAGTCACCTTTTTTAAAACTGATGTGAGCCGCATCATTTTAATCGAGTCAGGCCTCACAGCCAATACACTCGATGTTACGGATGAAGTCATTCCGTCCCTAAACCAAGGCCTTACTGTATCGGCCACGGTTGTCTTTATACCAATCATGTTTGAAGAACACATCGGTAGAGAATTCTTCCTTCGCAAGTGTAGTTTTCGTGCTGAAAATAGAAGGACAGATCCTCCTACAGTCGAACAACGGTATTCGATCCCTTTGGGTGGTCTATTATCCACTCGATCTTACTCCTTGAGTTATTGCCATTTAGGAGAATCCACTTGAGGATCATGGCGCAGGACATTGTGGTCCGTGGCCTCATGCGTGGTGTCAGCATAAGCACTGACACCAGTGACAGCTTGGTCCCTCGAGTTGCTTTCTCGTGGTGACGCAAAGTTGCCTCACCTCCATCACTACCCGTCCCATTGTTGGTTAGACTTGCGCGAGACGAGGATTAGTCAGATTAATCGCTCGGTCCAAAGATCTCGGACATGACAGCTCCATGTTTCCCGGAGCCATTCAATCTGGATCTGACAGTGTCCATCCTGGGTAATCAGGAGACAGAGGCGCCGTCTTCGATTAAGATGCATCATCAGACTCGCCGGAATAGATGAGCTCTATTTTAGCACCATTCGTATTGAAAGTCGTAGCACTCGCTGCAGACGCAGCGGATGCATTCGTTGCACGTGGTGACTCACCACGTGGGGTAGTCGCAACAACAACGGAATGATCACCTGCTGCTGATGCTTAAAGAAGTACTATTTTCGGCTGGACGCATGCGTGCGGATGCACGCATCCGCCTTCTTGGCTGCTTCGGCGACGCACCGCTTGGATTTAGAATAAATGCGATGGATTTGCAAATGAATGGAATTTGACCAACAAGTGCCCCCTTTACCAGAGTGATCCAACAGCGATCACTCTGTCTCCAATCAATATAATGAAATCACCGGGGTGGCTAATGGTTAGGGGGGGGTGAAGTAACAAGGTAGCCCGTTACATGATATTGACACCAAACGGTGCCAATAGAAAGATTTTCTATTGTGACAATCTTCTGCCAATATTACCTGAGGTGGATAATATCGAAGAAATCTTGTCCCTCAGGATTATTTTCACGTGCTGCTCGAAGATTGGTTGATAAAAGACATATCAACCAAAGTTACCACCAATCGCTTCTGGACGCGCGCAATGGGTGGTGAGCAGGTTGTCACCTTACGACAATGTAGATTAAGATAATTTCGTTAAGACTGAAGTTATATCGATAGCTTAACTACATTAAATACAGTTCTCTTTTTACCTTTACTCAAACCAGCTGTTTAAGTAGATTAGCTTCATCGGCACGTACAAGTGTACGTTAAGTTTTGTGGCACCCAAGCTAAGGGTGCCCCGTTGCACACTGTAAAATCATTTACAAATATCATTATGGAGAAACATTAGCACAAGATGACCATGTTGGCGACGTATCTAACACTTTTAAAATACAATATCCAGATTTGCTTGATCCCAGAATGAATGTATAAGCGCGATTAGCGCAAGACAATATCAAAGGGAGAGCTCCAGGGCTTGCTGATCTATAATATCTATCATAGAACACGCATTAGAAATGTAGTCCCGAGTAATTACGGCGACTAGTCACAACGTAGTGATAATTGTACTTCAAAAACCGCCTTCCTTTACAACTTCCCGCTCTACCGCTAGTTTCGAATGCGCTATGTCTCTTTTTAGCATACATTTTCCTATCGTATGCGTGACCTTGACAACAGTCATCTTTTATTCCTAAACCGATGATAATCGTCTATTTGCTTCTGTTCCTTACACGGGCCATCCTGTTCGATGATGTCATTGCACCCAGAGACCAAATTAATTCCTCAGCAAGGATGACGGACAATTAATAAAGACGCCGAGCATTTTTTCCGGGTGTGGGCCTACATCTGTGGAATTCTTGCTTACCCGTGAAGGAAACAGAGCAAAAACAAGTCCACTAGAGAGATGGGCTGTGTTGATTTTGAATTTGAGCAGGGCAGTACCCCCATTAAGGGTAAAAGTTTTGAAACTATGAAAACATGCATCAAGAGCTGTAAGAAACGTGACTGCAGCTTGAGCATGTGTCAAAACGGTAAAAAATAAATCATCACCCGTTTAACAAAACGAAAGCAGCCAGATGAAGCTAGTAACAGCCAGAACATCGTGCCATGGATGCTCCAAAACAGTCATCACAGTACGCACCTGGCCCAAGAAAAAAAATCACATTCGTTCCTTCCAAAAGCTCGCGAGTGTGCAGCACGCGAAAGCGATGGGCGAGGTTTGGGTTGATCACCGAAAAAGTTTAGGAGACGTGCATACGACATTTGAAATAACTATTCTCAGAAACGCTGTGGAATCCACGCATTCTTGCTATCACTTGTCAGCTTCACGACCAACAGCTCCAGAGGGGGGAGTTCTTACATGAATACTATAATGATGGAGCTGACAGAACATCCAAAATGAGGAAACTGCTTTTTTGAAGCGCGTGAGGATGAACAACAACGTTTACATCCATTTAGATCACTCATTATGCGGTTTTTAACTGGAAGCAATACATAGGCAGGAGAAACTGACGTACACATACAGCTGGACTTGGACTGCGTGGTGGTCCGTATCGAGTAGATGTAGATTTTCATATTTGTCCGGCTTTTGTATAAGTTTACGTGAAGTAAGAAAATAAAGGCGGGGATGTTAATTTGTTTATTTTTAGGCCTCTTATATTTTAATAAATAAAGTTGTAACAAATAATAGTGCCATATAAAATTAGGCTTGCGACGTTGCGCCCACCCCGGACCACCCACGAATTGTCCGCTGCAGCCATGACGATAAAAATTTATGGGCGTTGGTGTAGGCGCCAATTTAGATCTCCGGTGTGTACCGATTATCCCAGATTTTCATTTCCTTTTATCTAGGCATTTCTATGATGATAATATGGAGCATATTAACTTTTCTTTCTGAAAAGGTTTCGCTCTTGTTCACCATTGTGCAAAATACCAGCACAGATAAACCTGCCACATTTGGTATGATTCATGGACTGCAAGTGTATCATATATAGCAATAGCATCAAATTTTAACGGTGCAAGCACCCTCCAGTCATTAGCAGCCCTCAAAAACAGTAAAGGAGCCTGGATTCTGTGTTCAGCACCTGATCTTAGTACAATACTAAGTAAGGTGACACGTCAATCGGCTTTTTGCGCAACAAATTGTTGGTGATACGTTGTGCATTTGCATTAGAGTGTAGATTTATATGCTTGATTTTAGTTTGTGCGATAGTGTGTAACAATTGTGTTCACAACTTAAATCAAAGTTTTGTGTGACACACTTCGTGTACGCTTGTAGCCCAACTGGGTTGGTGTGGAAGCATCATCCGAGAGGTCACCGTTGCGAGAACCGGTACAAGCAAGAATACTAAGCTAAGCGTTTAGGTTCTGATGTATAGGGTTCACCAGCAATGCACACCAGAGTGACGTCTCCTACTTTTGCAATGATGACACCATCAAAGAGATTGGAAATAATTCGCTGCTCCAACTATTAGCAGAACAAAATGAGTGAACAGCAAAGCAAAAGCACTTACACAAGAGCAGATAATGCAAGAATGATTGAATTACTTTCACTTTGCTAGTTCGCCTTTAAACAACGATGCCGTCGCGACCCAAACAGGTTAGTAATTTGACGTATGAGCAGAAGAAGAAGAACTACCCGTGGCATGATGCAAACACCACGCTTACACAGTCGCAGCTGGCAGATAAGGCGAAGCGCGAGTTTCGTCTCTTCAAGGCGCCAGTCCAGGGGACGATCTCCGGCATTTTGCGTGATCGTCAGAAGTATCTGTACGTGATGGACCTCGACCTCAAGATTAAGCGGACCCGAGTACTGGCATTACCTGCATTCTATGAAGCCCTTGCGAACCCGAGTACTGGCATTACCTGCATTCTTTGAAGCCCTGGGTGCTGCAGTGTCAAGCCAAGCGCTTGATGCTGTCCGGGGATCTATCTAAGGCTAGAGCGAGGCGATTCGCCACAGTGAGCAGCATTCAAGAAGACCGGCTGCTATCTTTTTCGAATGGGTGGCTTCAATCTTTCCAGGCACTTCATGGCTTTAAGCAACTTAGCGCCCACGGTGAGAGCGGCTCCGTAAAATCGGAGAAGATACTCGCGCAGCGCGATGCCATCCGGGAACGTCTGAAAGTAGCCCCGATAGCTGACATTTACAAAATAGACGAAACAGGGATATTATACTGCCTTGCGCCAGATAAGACTATCGCCCAACGACAAGTGGAAGGATCGAAGAAGAGCAATACTCGTGTGACAGACGCTCTGATGTGCAACGCTGACGGCTCGGACAAGCGCTAGCCCCCCATCATTGGTCACGCGAAAAAGCCGCGCTGATTCCAGAAGAAGACAGGGAATCAACTTAGCTTCAACTTTCGCAGCAACATCAAGGCGTGGATGACCGGTGTCCGATTTCTAGAGGGGTGCATGATCTTGACAACGACGTGCACGCTCAAATGCGAACACCGTTCCCCTTCTTGACAATGCATCGCACGTACTGCTCATGATATGGAGTTAAAGAGCGTAAAAGTCGTGTTTCTTCCTTCAAATACGACCGCAAAGCTGGAGCCCATTGATGACGGTATCATCGCCTTCATTCAAGCGTCAATACAGGCATCGCCAGCTCGAGCACGCTTTGGATATGGAGCAACAAAGATTACAGACCAGTGTCTACACTCTGGACCAGCTCACGGCGAGGAAGTGGGTAATATCCTGCTGGCGTGACGTTCCAAGCGATGATATTCTAAACTGCTTTCGGCATACAGGGCTCGTGCTCGGCCGTACGACCACTCGCAGATCGCGCAATGAAGCTGATGACCAACTGAACACCAGCCTGCTAGCACAAATGCGTCATCTACGCATCCGCCACTCTATGGAAGTAACTAAATTTATATGATGCACTGCCGAGGCCGACAGGGAGATGAAGGAGCTAACTGCCATAGACCTGCTCAGCGAAAAATCGGACGCGGGGTTTTTGCTCACGACCCAAGAGAGCAGGGAGTCGACAAGAGAAGGTGTAACAAACATGCAGACAGAGATCAGCGCCGAGGACAAGGTTGACGCAGTCTGAGCTATCAGTTTGGTGCTCGGTGGTTATTTAGATCTAGAGAGACTTGTCATGGGAGGGATGCGTACATTACAGCAGCGATTGCGCACAGAGCTAAGGGTAGAAAAGGAGAACTTACTTACAGAGACATTAATTCGTGGTTACTTTTCCGCGGCACCAACCATGTAACTGTAGAATGCCAAGACGATTATTAAGCGATCTTGATAGTACGCTCAAGGTTCCATGTTGTTAAACGCAGCCACCTTTTTACATTTTAATCCGTTTCCAATATAATACATTTTGAACCACATGAAGACGCGATTTTAATCCTAGATCAGTACCGTGTAACGGATGGGCCCACGCCAGCGACAAAATTCTGAGCCAAGATTATCAAATTTGGACAAGATTATTCACCAACTATCAAATTTGCCAATTTTCAAGTTTACCCTATACATTCGTATAGGAACGGAATCGGTGGACCAGATCCTTATCATGTTAGCAATATATCATGTTAATCAGGGATCAGAATGGCCAGGTTTATCTGGATTCACCCCATCAATCGGTGTCCGGAACCGACTCCCACTTCTGTGTCACGACAAGTACCATCGCGCATCAACATCCTTCAATTCGGTGACACATGTTGATGCCAAAAGTCAGTGACGCTAGCTTCTCGCTCCACCCACCATCGCTCTGTAGCTCCCCAGCGCCTCACTTTCGATTTTGCTCTCGACCCCGCACTCATGACTCCCTCCGCCTCGACTCGCACGCACAAAAAGTACTTGGAAGTCTCCAATGCACCGCCCGTGTATTCTTCAGCCGACGAACTTAACGCGTACTTTGGTGAATTCGGCGGCTGCTTCGTGGCCGAGACGCTCATTCAAGTCCACCACGACCTCATCCAGGAGTACGTGAAAGCCACGCAGGACCCGTCGTTTCGTGAGGAGCTGGAGCAATTAGGCCGCGACTACGTCGGTCGTCCCACGCCGCTGTACCATGCCAAGCGTCTCACTGAGCACGCGCAAGGAGCTCAGATCTGGCTCAAGCGCGAGGACTTGGCGCACACTGGTGCTCACAAGATCAACAATGCTCTGGGGCAAGCGGTGCTGGCCAAGCGGCTGGGCAAGACCCGGATTATCGCCGAGACGGGGGCTGGGCAGCACGGCGTGGCGACCGCTACAGCTTGTGCGTTGTTGGGGCTCGACTGTGTTGTCTACATGGGCTATGTCGACACGCAGCGCCAGTCGCTCAACGTCTTCCGGATGAAGATGCTCGGTGCCAAGGTTATTGCAGTCAAGAGCGGCTCGCAGACGCTCAAGGATGCTGTGAATGAAGCCATTCGTGACTGGGTCACGAACGTAAATGACACGCACTACATTATTGGCTCGGCCATTGGTCCACACCCGTTTCCGACCATTGTCCGTGACTTCCAAGCCATCATGGGTCGCGAGATCAAAGCCCAGCTGCAAGAAGAGATTGGCCGACTGCCGGATGCAATCGTCGCTTGTGTCGGCGGAGGCAGCAATGCCATCGGTATGTTCCACCCGTTCGTCAAGGACGAAGAGGTGGCGATTTATGGCGTGGAAGCTGGTGGGGACGGGGTTGACACGCCTCGGCACTCGTCGACACTGTTGGGTGGTCGACTGGGCGTGCTCCACGGTACCAAGACATATGTCATGCAAGACCTTGCAGGTCAAGTTATCGAGACGCACTCGGTGTCTGCTGGTCTGGACTACGCTGGTGTCGGCCCCGAGCACGCGTTCCTGAAAGATTCTGGCCGTGCCAAGTACGTGAGCGTAACGGACAAGGAGGCGCTAGAAGCTTTCCAGCTCATGTCTCAGCGTGAGGGAATTATTCCAGCGCTTGAGAGTGCTCACGCGGTACACTTTGGTGTACAGCTAGCGTCCACGTTGTCCCCTGATCAGGTGATCGTCATTAACGTCAGTGGCCGTGGTGACAAGGATATGCTGCAGGTCGCCAAAGAGCTCGGTGTCAATCTCGACGACGACCTCACCGATAACTGACGACACCACAGAAGAGTCGCAAGTGCATAAAAAAAGAGCTACTAAATAAGAGCGCTTGTTGTCCGTTTTTACCTGCTTATCATCGAGTATTCGTCTGCTTGAAGGCACAGCTTGATCAGTAGTACTATGTGCATGGAGTATCCCGGCTGCTGCCTGTAACCTAGCGGTTGCGTCTCGGTGTGCTGGCTAACGAGCCTGACGCATTCTTGCCACTGAGCTCCTCGCTATCGAGGTAACTTCCATCTGGAATAGGCTCGTAGCCCTCCTTTGAGTTTTCTGCGTCATCCGAGCTCTTTCCCCACAGCGTGTAAAGTAGGAAGTACAGCACAAAGATCTCGACGAGATGCTTGGACGCGACAAAAAGCCACCACGACTTGTCCTCGAGGTACGCTCCTGCCTGGTGGAAATGCGCGAGACTTACGAGTGAGTACGTGAGAAACACAGTGTTCGCGATGAGGAAAAACGCGCAGATGGATGTTGCCCAGTTAACAGCCTTGATCCGGTCTGTTGTGTCAATCTGGCTGACCTCGAGAAAAGCTAGCAACACGGTCTTCATCCTGAACGAGTACACGAGCACTGCCGCCAACGATCCGATCGAGAGGAGACACATGACAACGTCATCATAGATTAGGAGCCAGTACGAATCCACTCTCCTTGTTGCAAACAGAGCAACGCCAATGGCTTGAACCGTGACCATCGCACTCATGATGGAGAAAAAGAGCCGCAAGGGATGCGACCGGACACTCTCGTGCGTAAAGAGACGGCGCAGCATATCTGCCCAGAAGACGACGACGAGCACGAAGACGCTGTAGAGGAGGAACGAGCCAAGTAGCTCAACAGTTTCTGCTGCTAGAAACTGAGTCCAGCCAGTCTCGCCCATCATGATACGAGGTGGCTTCATCAGCACTGACTGGGTACCGTATGGTGTGGCGAACCAGAGCACACGAGTGAGCGAGGCCAGCCCCATGAGCAGATAAAAGCCAAGCGTCGCAGCCTGACGCGTAGGGGACTGGGCGTGCATGGCAAAAGCCCAAAAGGCGAAGAAACAGGCACCTCCATAGGCCAGAGCTAGCACTGTATCCACTTGACGGTAGAAAAACTCGAGATACATGGACGGCACTAGAGGTGGTTAAGGTAGAAAACACAGGGGTGGGATATCGACCACGGTCGAATGGCAATAGAATTTGTATTCAATAGCACAGCAGGCGGGGGGCAACGATACGACAAAGTTAGAATACGTAGATGAGAACAAGACGCAGAAGGTTTGAAGCATGGAGGAACACACGGAGAAGACGTACTGTGAGTGCTGCCATCGAGCGGTAAAGCGGACGCCGTCATGACTCCCAGAAGTCGTATCCGTAACTTACACGGAAGAGCAGTGGAGTTGGTGTGGTGAACACTAAATGGTCGTCAGCAGTTGAGTTGGTGTGGTGAACATCATATGGTCGTCAGCAGTTGAGTTGGTGTGCTGCACATCAGTTGTTCGTCGACAGCTTGTTGCGTGATCCAGAAAAAGACTGAAGTGTACCTACCTGTACGAAGCGTCTTTTATGCCACGACGACTCCGACTTCAAATGGTATTATCAGACATGACAGTAGTGCTGGTGCAGATTTGTTTTACGGCGAGCACACGACGCTGTCCGAAACAGTCGTTGCGGTAAATCTGCAAACGAAACCTAACAAAGAAAGGTAGTTGGCCTCTATTCTTCTCGCACTCGTCGCCACGATAAACATAGCAGAGCTTGTCTTTTGCTACATTCTAACTATAAATGCAATCTTGAGACCAATCGGCCCTTTGGCTGCGTTAGTGAGCGTTCTCTATCGTGAAAATAAGCGCATATTCATGGTGGAGAATAATAGTATACATTGCCTTTAACATGCGTCTTTTCGGCCAGTTTGTCGTCTCGATGTGCAAATGAGCACGGCAGGGACGTCGATCTAATAGACAACTTATGACGTAGTGATGCTGCGTTATACGTATATCAGTGGAAAACCAAAAGTCATTGCAGCTGCGCTGCGTATTACCCGTCTACCAGAAAACACGTCATTCAGTATCACACTGACGGAAATTAAGTCGCAGCTATCAGCATATCCCGCAGTGCGTTCTGATTTTCCAATCTCTTGTCACAGCACTGACTCGACTGCATTCACCCCGAAGCATGATGCAGCAGCACGCCCGTCACAATACCAGCATTGCTCTGCTCGTTTACCGTGTCCACTCTGCTCTTGGTAATCTTGATACTAGGTGTAATCCACGTACCACACGAACACTGAGAGCCTGACCACTGTAACCCCCCGAGCCGTGACTGACACTTGACTGTGGGACAGTGTATTTTGCCCTCGGCCAGCAGCGCTTCGTCCATCCACGGCAGCGTCTCTTCTAGGAAATACGAAGAACAGTCGACGTGGCTGCTAAGGTGGTGGTGTCTCAGATCCTTGAGTTTTCGACGCGTGGAGATCTGATGCTGCTCCGGTTCGTGCGGCATCAGACGGTCGCTTGTGAATAGAATAGATCGACACTTTTTACATGCAAACTTCGTGGTTGATGTGTGAGGTACTTGCTCTTGGAGCTGCAGCTCTTCTCGGTATGTCGTCGAGTCCATGGCGTTTATTACTTTGATTGGGGTATGGCTTCTTACCGACAGTGCGTATAATTTTGATTCGTTAAGAATCAGATGTCTCTCGTCGAGTTTAGCACTGCCCAGTCCACTCGAATTTAACTTTCATCTGATTCGTTTACATTACACGGTAAGTTTCGACCGCGACTGCCTCAAACGCGCCTCTGCTCTTTCGACACCTATCGCTACTTCATGGTACCACTTTACATTGACCATGAAGACTTGTAGCGCGATACAACACCTGTGCCACGCGACTTAAGCAGACAAGTCCCAGTAGTTCAAGCAAGCGTCATTGCCAACCGACACGAGCTCCGTCTCGGACACGAAACTCACGCCCGTCACGCCATCCTTGTGCGAAAAGTCGAATACGCGCTTCTTCATGGGACTGTTCACGTCCCAAATGTAGATACGTTCATCCAGTGAACCACTGGCCACAAAGTCACCGCTCGGGGCCCAAGCCACACTAGTCACGCGCGTCGAGTGATAAACCCACATGCCCTGCACCTTGGCTGAGCGTGAAGCTACATCCCACACACGCACCTCACGGTACGTGTCGCCCGCAGCAAGCAGCGAGCCATCCGGTGAGAACGACACGGACGTCAGGGCACCCAAGTGTCCCACGATCTCGCCACTTTCGACAAGCGACGACCCGTTCACGACGTCAAACAGGTGGATCTTCATGTCCTCTTGTGACCCCACTGCAACAAGGTCTTCCGACGGCGAGATCGCCACGCAAGTGGGTGTCCACAAGAACTCGGGCGTCTCAAAGACCAGCTTCTGGCCACGCAAGAGTTTCACACCCTTGTTTGTGCTGACCACAGCAAGGCAGGACTCCGTCAACGCCACGCCATTCGGCTGCGCATTTAGTGCCTCGGTGGCAATGTACTCGTTGTCGTTGGCAAAGCGCAGCTGGTCGTCCCACCCTGAGCTAGCAATTTGGTTCGACGTGGCGGAAATGCCCGTGATTTTTGCCGTATGGTGAGCCCCTGCCAAAGTTGTGGCAGCTTTTGACGTCCACGAGCAAACAACACCGTCGTAGCTGCCCGTGAGAATCCGCTGTTGCGTTGGCACCGTGGCGAGCGACAGAATGCTCACCTGGTGGCCCTGCACAGTCTGTTTTGGCTGCGATGGGTTGTCCAGGTCCAGGAAGTTCAGGTTGCCTGACAGACTGAGCGAGACCAGGTGGTTCTGACACCACGCCACCGCCACCTGCATGTCTTTCACTTGTGGCTTCGAGCCACCAAACGTGAACTTCGTCACGACACTGCGGGAAGCAACGTCCCAGAGCAGCACCGTCTTATCGGCTGACGACGTCAGCAACTGCGTGCCATCAGGGCTCCAGCACACAGAGTAGATGGAGGCCTGGTGCGCCGCTGGAAACTTGTCCACCATCTCGCCGCTGTTGCCGTCGTACAAGCACATGAGCTTATCCGAGCCAACACTGACGGCAAAGTCGCCATTGGGCGAGAAACGCACACAGTTGACAAAGTTCGCGTGCAAGTTGCTGTTGTTCTGTTTGAACTTGAATGGCGGGCCTTCATACACACACACGTTGAAGTCCTCACTGGCCGTCATGATGCGAAACGGACGCGTTGGACGGTAATCCACGCTCAAAATCCGCTTTTGATGACCCACAATCTCGCCGATGCTGTTGCCCGTGTCATACGTGAACACACGCGCCATGGAGCCACGACCGTCGCCCACTGCGACGATCCGTTTGCTCTCAGGGTCCCATGACAAGTCCTTGATTTCTCCAGCAAAGACCGGGACTTCCACCTTGAGCGTGTGCTCCGGATTGTCGTACGACCACACGCGCACTTTGCCCGACACGTCACCGGACGCGACCCAATAGCCGTTCGGCGAGAACTTGGCCACTGTCGTTGGCTCGTGGTGGCCCTTGTACACGAACGTCTCGGTCGGATCCTCCAAGTTCCGGACGACCACGAGCTTTCCACTGCAGTAGATTAGTTTGGGCTCTTTTGGGTGCACGCCCAAAACACTAGGAGCGCCGCGATTGGTCGTTGGGTTCGGTCCAATGGTCGCCTAACATGTGTTTAGTGATAGCATCGATGTATTGGATTAGTCACGAGCGAGATCCGTAAGATGATAGTTTAGAAAGACATGGCTACATAGGGGTGAGCGAGTACCTTGAGGGCTGGAGGAGGCACCTTCTCCGTGGGGTTCGTGGGTGTGTCCATGGCTTGAGAAGGAGGAGAGAGAGAGAGAGAGAGAGAGAGAGGGAGAGAGAGGAAGCTGCCACGTGTTGGGGCAGGTGTTGCAAGGGAGGGGGGAGATCGATGAGTACGATCGCGCGTCGACGTAGTCTTAGGGCTTGTGTAACTCGAGTGCACCACACCAGCTGATACTTCTTGGTGCTACGATGTATGCCGTAGTACAGGTGCTGCATGCGTGCGTGCGTCATAGTTAGGGTGGTAGGGTCGACTGATTCCGCCCACAATGAGTTGCTGAAATTGTAAACTCATAATGTTTGACGTGTAATGACGGAGCCTTCAGGTGCGTATGGGTGAGCAACAGCAGTACTGAATGGTTGCAGGTACTACTGAGGTGCTCAGAATGTCAAGATTAGTGAAGACGATAGTGCTTCAAGCCTTTGTGAATGTAAATTTCTGTTAATGAGCGCTTGAGATATTCAAGCTGCAGCTAGGGAATGATAATTGAGCGAATTGAGCGCTATTTCCTCCATTTTGGGAGGTGTCACTGGTATTGTCAGTCGATGTGGACCCACGTCGCGTAGACAATAAATATGGCACGACTCGTATCACCTATGGTCGCAATGCCAACGGCTTCAGTAGTATTGTCGACCTTGATCGCAAGAGGGACATCGATGTCGTTGCGGCCGTCATGTAGTAGATGTGCGCAACTTCTGACGTTAGGCTACAACTCCGTGAGCAACTGCAGCCACATATCTGCATAACATCGAATCGACTAGCATTGCTGCCAAATTTTCGTAGAGGAATCGTGCACAACCAAAGCATTCGAAGACAAATAAATGGTCGATGACGCCTTTGCAGTGATAGCAAGCTTTGCAGCTTATGAGGTTAACTTCCACGTGATCAAGAAGCGCACTCAATACATTGCAACAAGCAAACGGGGGATCAAAGACAGTAATCAGGATCGTTCGTGGCTCGTGCACCTGGTTCCAATCAGGCTCTAACGTCGGTCGCATGGATCCGTGCTACCTGCTGTCAATTACATCGTACCCAACGAGTCTATTGTTGTCTTCAGCAGACACAAGACGACGTCAGTAGCAGCTTCCACCTAAGATACGTAGTCTTGAGCGGTGCTAAGGTCTACAGCGAATGAACTGTTGTGTAACAGCAGTATCATTTTCACCCGAGCTAGGGCGCACGTCGCGGTGGTGGCAGCGTTCCGTTGCGCTTTCTACCTTCACCGCTAAATGGTCAGTTTTTACAAAGGTTCGGCACTGCATCCGAGCTTTCATTAATGAAGGTGATGTGGAAGTGAAGCCGCTAGATCATTGAAAGACAGCCGCTTAGGCCAGGTCTGATAAGCTGATGAGGATGGCAGCAATGCTATGTAATCTTCATTGACGGCAGCAGAGGTCTCGACATGCTTGAGAGTGAAAATGTCGCTCAGATTGAGGGAGATTCGCACGCTATGCCATTTCTTCCACTTGTACGCATGTACATCAGTGCGTGGGAAACAAGGTGGTCGCGGCAGCATCGACCATCGATCAATCTCGACACTCATCACGGTATTTTTGTCGTTGGTGGAATGCTTGTGCTGAGATCATGAGGCACTTGTTGATCAACGCCGGTTCGTCATGGACAACACATTGCCTTGAAGTGATCCAAAGAGAATGATTTGCAAAGGCTTGGACGAGACGATTTCAGGTGTTGGATACAACACCTGATACAACACGGAGCTCCGTTCGCCGCATTGTCAGGCATCAAGTCGCGAGTCGCCGTGTGTGGAACGCATCTTGGTCTTAATGGCAATTGATGTGATTGCGACAAAGTATGCAGGCGATGACCGACAATTGAACCAAGCGGTTTACAACGAACACGAATAAAATCAACGGTCACACGTGTAGTCTGTCAGGGCTGTAGGGAGTGTGACTACATTCTTTTCGAAGTGCATAATGGAAGCAGTTACGGAATACGAGACGAAACCAGTGCTAAAGCTTTCCACGGACGCAATACGTAGCGACAAATGTGCAGTGAATGCATCTCTACACTTGAGGACTACAAAATGTGCTGACAATTAGCTGTGCGAACGAAAGATCGATCGGTCATAGCATGCTGGTCAAGACGTAGCGCACAAATCAGCTTCATGGAGCAAGACAAGAACTAAATTAGGCTCTCCGCGTATTACGTCCGAACACGATATTACTGCAGCTGCACGACTAGATACATGATACGCGACTGTCTTCGTCTTGAAGCAAGCCAAGCAGCGGTTCGACCGCGTCATCGCATTATCAGCAATGTTGCATCCATGCAAACGTTAAAGATTGTTTTTGCGTGTGTGCCTAAAAATTTACAACAACTTCAAGGACATGTCGCTTGCACAACTTCAACGACCAGATCCAGTTTCTGTCCCAGGCAAAGCGAATAGCCGAGCAACACTGTCACGTTCAGACTTGCGTCAACTGACACTTTCATTCAAACTGCGGCTGGAAGCGTCAGTTCAGTGGGCGCCCCATCGCCTTCCTGCAACACCCAGATTCATTACACTCACTCACACCATTCCAGGGTCGCTGCTATCCAACAGACTTCCCTATTCGTACTTTGCGCCATGGCGAACCGTGATTTGCTGGATTTGCGCGACCATTTAATCAGGTCTCGACTTCAGTTGAAGCTCTGCAAAGACGAGGCCGTCGACCGTTTCATTCGATGCGCTGCATTTCAGCCAATCGTCATCGGCTACCGATCACTGCACAACCACGGTGTCATCTTTGTGTGTGCCACTCACGCCTCTACATACCGATAAGTACCGAAATGCGTTAACAGAGGGTCCTCGCGACCCAGCTCTTTTGGAGCTGCTCACTTCGCAACTTGCAGAAGCCGTGTCAAGTCTGTCTGTTTGTAGCACGTCTTGACGGTTTCCGGACACACTGGGAGAGCTGCACGACAAAACGGGACTGCCGTGAGTAGCCCCTGGCTGGACGTGCCAAGGTCTCGGACTCTCTCTTCCCATGTCCAGCACCTTTGCCTTTGGTCTTGCCAAGAATGGGGTCAACGCGCTTCCTAACGTCCGGCGCGCCGCCACAGCTTCTTCCCACATTAGTGAGCGTCTATCGTCTCCCAATTGTCCCGATCAAGAGGAGAGCAGCATTGGTGTGTGGAGCAGTGATGATGACAAGATCGGGGGCTTGAAGACCTCGACGCTGCGTGGTGACGGACACTTGAGGAAGCGCGGGACGTCCGTGGACAAGACGAACCCGTTTATCGGGTACTTTCAAACAGGAACTGAAGAAGGTGATGGTGGAATCGACACAGAAATTGGTGACGTCCTGCCAGTGGCTTGTCCAGTGCCAGTGCCAATCCGCCGGGTACCGGGTCGCACCCAAAGCAGTGCAACGCTCTCGTCTGTGTCGTCGTTCTATCCGTTAACGCTCTTTACGCCTCGAGCAAAGCTGACCGAGTGGCAATGTAAGCGTCTTTTACCGTTCTTTATAACGCAGCAAGATGCAAAGCAAGAGTCGATACAACAGCAGCAGGGAGGAAAGAAAGAGGAAGAGAAGAAAGAGCAGAAACAACAGGAACAGAAGAAGCGTGCGATGTTCGTGCAATCGTTGACGTTAGAGACGCCAGTGCTGGCTGGTGTTTCAGGTGCGACGGACAAAAGATACGGGGAACAGCAGCAGAACGGACCACTGAAGCGAACAGAGTTGTTGCTTGATACGATGTCGGCGACACAGCCGCAGTTGGCAGTTAAAGCCACGTCATCAATTTTAACAGGTGGTGTCATGTCTTTATCTGACGGGGACTTGCGTACGTTGAATTCGCGCTTTGAGCAAGACTTTGAGGTCATGGGATCTTTAGGTGCAGGTGGTCAAGGCTGTGTCTACAAGGTGCGCAGTAACGTGGATGGATGCTACTACGCTATCAAGAAAGTGGTTCTCCCCCGTGCTACCGAGCTTGATGAGAAGCGTGCGGAAAGCCAAGCGCTGCGTGAAGTTCGCTTGATGGCTTCCGTGGCTCCGCATTCTAATGTTGTTCGCTACCATACGGCTTGGACAGAAGTGCATGCATACGCTTCGCACATTACTTCGTCGACGGGAAGTGTCTGCGGGTCCAACGATTCGTTGCGTGAGAACGACTGTGGTCCACGAAATCTTCGGTGCCAGCAACTAGAGTCGCTGGACGATGAGACCGAGTTGCATAGGAGTGGCATGTCGACTACGGACCACTCGTTCTCGCTTGAATACTCGACAAATTCGTTCAGTTGTGACGAGCATTCTACCCCTGGATTTACTTTCGAAGACGAGTGCGATGATGAAGATTCGGTCGGTCTAAGCATTGATGAGGCGTCATTCGGTCAGCTGGGTGAGCTGCAGAACGAGGTAAAGCTAGCTCCTGCGGCAACTGCTGCTGTAGAGCTAGTGGCCACGAAATCGCAGGTGGTCTTGTACATCCAGATGGAGCTGTGTGGCACAGCAGTCGACTCTGTAGCCCCATCTCAGGCTGTCGCTGATAGCCACGAGCCAATCCATCATATCCTGGACCAGCTAGATACGCCACAGCAAGAGCGTCCTCAGTGTCGCGAAGAAACGCACTCGAATCTAGGGGCATGGCTTCGTTCTTCCCTTGAAGAGCGGTTGTTGTGGTCTGACGCACCTGAGATACACCTGGAGGGACTGAAGTTTTTTCTCGACGCGGTTCAAGGTGCTGCTCATATGCATTCGTATGGTGTGATCCATCGCGACCTGAAGCCAGACAACATCTTCATCCACGGGGACGTCGCAAAGGTCGGCGATTTCGGTTTGTCCAAGTCTGTTTATGCTGATAGCACGGCTGACGGGGCTGTATCTCCCCGAGAGTTTCTTCAACAGTCGAGGCTAAGCGACGGTGACCATACGACGGCGCTTGGCACGTTTACGTATGCGTCACCCGAGCAGCTGGGGTACCGCCTCAGTAGCAACAACGCGCTGAAGAATGCTGCAACTCGTTTGAAAGGCGCTAGGTACTCAATCAAGTCGGACGTTTTCGCATTGGGAGTGATTCTCCTGGAACTCTGCTGCCCGTTTCGCACGATGATGGAGCGTTCGCAGGTGCTGACTGGTGTGCGCCACGGCGTCGTGCCGCAAAAGTCTCGACAGCATTTTCCGATGGAGATTGATTTGGTGTTGCGCATGACTTCGATTGACCCCAGTGAAAGACCCACGAGTGGAGAAGTCTGCGAGCAACTACGCCGAATCATAGCCACATCAGGCGCCATAATTACGCCAGCATCAGCTCTAGAAGACTTGCGTGAGTTACAGCTGAAGCTTGCTGCTGCTATTCGCCAACTGCGTGGCCGCTCGAAAGCTTCTGTTTTGCTAGAGGCACTGGTATCCGAGATGAATGACAAGGTCCACAACGTAGGCATTGCTCTCGCCTAAGATAGCCGAGTGACGGCTCTTGTGATGTGGATCGAGGGCCTCGCTGTGTGGAAATGCACGCAGAAAATGAGGACAACAGCTAAGCGGTCGGTGGATGACATAGCGGAGACCAGCAGGTTACATGGTCTTGTCAGTTAGTACGTTTGGTATGTGAAAGTAAGACAACAAGCACCACGTGTGCGCTAATATGTAAAGTGATCGGTGAGAACGATGCAAACGTAGAGAATGTCAGACACGTACTAAATGGTACGCAGTGTTGGATGTTGTATCAGCAGTGAACGCATGTTTGATGACAAATTGTCGTTAGAGAATCATCTAGCACATCATTGAGGTAAGCATCATTCACTTACAATTAATGTTGTCGAGACCATAATCAAAAAGTCTTGATCAGCTAATGCTGGGTAAGGCATTGAAGAAATGGTAGTGCTGGTCCTGGTCAAAGACACCCACCATTGTGCCACAGTCCGAGCATACGACAGCATAAAATTCATCAGCCTGTAGCACCATAGCAATCTCCCGGCCTGGCGTGGAAGCTACCGTCACACGACCGTTGCCTGCATTTACGTTTTTCCGCATGTGGAACGGCATCGATGCCGGCACGCCACTTCCACTCGACGTATAAGTGAGGATATCATCCCGCTTCACACGACAGTTGATCGCAGTAGTGGCTCGGTACTGATTCGTATAGGTGATGTGTCTATTTCCATCAGCACGCAATAGTTCTTCATCAAGATGCTGGTAGCCTGCCACCACTACAAAACTTGCACAAAATGAGAAAAAAAACACGCACCTTTCACAGATCATGCACACCGTCAAGAAACAACAGGGACAACACAGCGTCGCATCCGTCTCATGTTGTGTAGACAGAGCGCCCCCTACACCCCCATTCACCCACAACAATTTGCTACTAAGTACGTGTCCCCGATCCCCATTATCGTCCATCACCAGTTCAGTTTGCAACCACAAAGACCTACTGAAATGATTCTGTACCCATTGCTTGTCAGCGTCGTCGAGCTGCTTGTCAAACAGCGGATCCGGCTCAAATCGCTCGTCTTCGTCACTCTCGTCCTCACTTTTCCTCTCCTCTCGGCCACTCACCGGTCGTCTTCTGCCCAAATGCTTTTTTTCAGGAGCACACTTTTCAACCTTCGGAACGATCCCTCGAGCTGGCGATGCTTTGGAAATTTCCTCCTCCACCTCGTCCTTAATTCTCTCGTTGTGCTGCTTTGCAAATCGGAACGGCACTTCCCCATTCAATTTGCCGCCTAAAGCGGTGTCCAGTGCGTCTTCCAACTGCGTCTTCCGTGCATGATGTCGAGCCAAATGTCTAATCGAGACATTCGGCTCACTATTATTTTTTCCACCGGGATTGACAGCCCTTAAAAGAGGGACGTTACCCTGTTTTCGAGTCGGTTTTGGTCGTTCGTCTGTGTGGATACTAGGATTTAAGCGACTGGTAGGAGCTAAAACGTCGGCACGAGACTGAATCGAGTTGGTCGAGGACGCGGAGGTAGAGGAAAAGTCTTCCACGGGATTGTAAATCGGAGCAGAAAATGGAACATCTTCGGCATCGCTCATCGACTCATCACTGCTGGGGAGAAAGGCGTAGTAGTCGTCAGTGGTCGTGCTGTTGTACGCTGAAAAGGCGCCGCCGTCCGTTGACATTATTTGTGACGATTGGTCATAACGTAGGAAGGACTGGACTGGACTGGCGGTGCTTTGAGGACACAAAATATAGTCTGTCACAAAAGACTGGAATCGACATAGCATATGACATAGCAAACAGTGCGAGAGACACAAATGTCAACTTACCTCCGGACATAAGCTTTTTTATGCTACTGCAGAGAGCATACCTCGGATCGCGGAAGGTTTCAAGCTATATGACCAGCACTGCTCTTGCGATTCACGCTCGTATGACTGATATGTGACGTCATTCACACGAGGGATTGTAGAATGCGCGAGAAGCACATTCGAATGTCCTGTGGGAGCTGTCAAGAACTTCTTACAGCAGGTAGTAGCCCTTTTGAGTCCCGAAATATCAGTATGAAGGCACTTGGGTTCATTGTCTGCTCGCCACCCGCTCATTCTGATACAATTCGCAGTAGAATATGCATGATCCACTATTCTTGAGAAGCATTCTGGTGGGCTGTAGTCATCAATTGGAGAAAAGTTGCTTAGGAACTTAGTAGTAGACACAGAATCACACGACCTGTAGCGCCAAATTTAATGTTAACTCACATCTGCTCTGTATAGCTCGAGTGTGTTCATTGACGACAATGCAGACCTGAAGAAGCTGGGCACTTTACTATACAAGTGAAGATGTTGACACTGTGGATCTCTACGATGTGTTGACAAGTGGTCCCTCTCGCCACAATGTCAACCTCGCATGGCTTCATATAAATGGCTATGAGGTTGAGCTTTGCGGCTGCGTCGAAAGCCGAGAAAGATGGCAGAGCAAACACGAATGAGGTAGTGTTCGACTACCAGCGAAACGGGCTTCCGCTTCGTACAGCTCAATTCCAAACAAAATATCCCTAACATGTACCATCGTCGCACCGAGCGGTCATCTTTGAATAATATGCTGGTCTCAAGAGCGAGATGGGCGACTGTCCCCTTTACGTCAACTTGTCGGCAACGTTACCATTGAATTTAAAATGCATCTCTATTAATGGTTATGAAAACTGAACAATAGCTGTGTACACGAGACCGCTGCGCCCCCTCGAATCGACGACAGTGTTTGTCTACAGCAACGCCAGCGCAATGGTGGTAGCGACGCAGTAGGCGACGAGCGAAAGAGCGTAGGCGCCTGAGACGCCGTTCGAACCGGCAGGCCTCGCGGTAGCTGGTAGATCGAAGGATTCCGATCCGGAGTCGCTGGAACTTGGAATCTCAATGGAGCCGCTGCCGGAGTCGGACTCGTTGCCGGTCTTTCCTGTAAGGAAGCTAGCAATGAGCGTTCCGAAGTTGATGCTCACGCCCTCGATCGTAATGTTGCACTGGGTCTCTTGGTTGGCCACCTGGTTTACCTGGTTCAGGTAGTTTGTGCAGTCTACATTCTGTGAGAGCTCCGTGACCTGATCCAGCGTGGGAAACTCGTCGACTGCGAAGATGTCAATGCCCGTAGCATTCTGGCAATTGGCCAGGCCTTTGGTGGCGTTTTTAAAGAGCAAACCCTCGATCTCACCCATGTCACATTCGGTGGCGGTCGAGTGAGTGACAGCGACGACAAGAGCGGCAGTGGACAGGAAGGCGGTGGTCTTCATTGCTAGTATTGGAAGGTGGTAGTGGAGTGCTGGAGATAAGTGAAGTTGAAAAGTGAGAAGACCAGAAGTTGTTGCTGCCTTCACCAAGGCCGAAACGAGAGGCACAATCGTGGTAGACATACGGTGCGTATGCTCGTGAAGCGGACCGTTTCGAGACGGAAGCTCGTCTCGGGGTGATGTAACCGTGAGCTCTTGAAGGTGCCGGCATTTAACTTTCTCTCACTTTTCGTCGGTGAAACAACGCTAAACGGCTCCTCTCGGCCCTTTCTTCGGACCCTGCTGCTCTATCGGTATAGTAACCATGATTTCTTGAACGTCCAGAGAGAGGTGAGCGCAGCACCTGCGACATTGTGAAAGTAAGTCATTCCGGTCTGACACTTGTGATAGCGTAACGACCTCAACCGGCTCCTCTCGATCTCTATGCGAAAGCGTACTCTCTGTCAGTGCAGTAACTATGACTGCTCAAAGGTCCAGAGAGAGGTGAGCACGCGACGTTAGGAAAAGTGAGTCGTTCGTTTTGATACTTCTCTTTGGCGGACGGACCAAACTTAGCGACTCCTTCTGATCTCTGGACGGAAGTTTGCTGCTCCTCTTTGGTGTAGTAATTGTGAAACATTGGTCTGCAGAGGAGTCAGCGTGAGCAACATAACGGAAGTGAGTCCTAGAAGTTTAAACTTCTCGGTGGCAAACAAGCTCGAACGACCCCGTTTGATCTCTTTCCAGAACTCGATCCTCTTTGGATGCAGTTACCATGAGCTGACTCTCTAAGGTCTAGAGGAAAGTGAGCGTTAGCGACATGACGCCTGCATTGACAGATACGTCAAACAAGTCGTTTCATCTCGCCGTCTGCGTGTGAGTTTGACCCTTTTGTTGAACACGGCGAAAGTGTACGCACGAGAGATTGATGCCACGAGCTGTGAGGTTATGTATAGAGGCCAGGCGAGCAACACAATCGTTGGGAGCTCACTAACAAGTACGAGTGTGTTGCAATAGGGACGTAAGCTCAAAAGACTCATGGTGTTGCGTGCGCTAGTATCCAAGACCGTCTGTAACGTCTAAAATACGTCCAGAACAATCGAGTCTGCGACGAGATCGACAGTCAGACGTAGACCTTGGCAATGTGATGACGGAGTGGGTCTATGTCTAGCAATAATGATACCCGGCAGTCCAGCAACACTGGGGCATGATTGTGTTTCGTGCACGTACTACCACAATTTTGTCTGCATCCTACAGCTCGTTGTTTACAGCGTGACGTCTCGCCGTGTCCATCCGTCTTCTTGATTGATAGCGCACACACGTGCAGCTATAAGGTGGGAAGCAAGGTCAGCAGATGTACATGCTTCTTTGTTCCGATTGGGACAAGCATGTTGTGTCACTGTAGAGTCAGAAGTCTTCGTAGAAGTCGTCCAGAAGCTATTTCCAGTGGTGAACAAATACGCCATGATGGTGCGCTCATTGGGTTATCCTACCGCCATTCTCCCTCGTTCAAATGGACATATTTCAGCAGCACTTGGTCAGAATCAGGCTGGGTCGGTCGATAGATTGATCCGTTTTACGTGACAACTTAGACACAGGGCAGCAGCGTCCAGAACCATGACTAAGTGCGATAGACTTACACATGTCGCGTCACTTGGTGTCCATGTCGACTTGCGATAGATGTCTGGAGTTTGCACAACGGTGCAGTATTTCTCACGGTGTCTGCCAGCAGGACGGCAGGCAAGATGACTGAACCACCGCACGTATAACGTGTTCGAGGATAGTGGTACGAAAAGGTGCGCTTACCAATTCTGCTCTTGGTAACTGCGGTTGACGTGCTTTAGCTGCGCCCATGAATTGTTGCAGCATCTTCGGTCGTAATGTCGCCAAGTTCCCAAAGACTCTCACACATCTCCTATCCTTGCAAATTACGCATGTCTTCTATCAGATACAGCTGGTGTTGAGGAATCTGTCTCTTTTGCATACAGTAGTCACCTCAAACTCGTCAGAACGCGACGTCCTTGCCGTGTCATCTCCAGGCTGCTCATACTTTGTGATAAGTCATCACTCTTAGAGAACCAGTCTTGTTGAGGGCGTGAGTATCATTCAAGCAAGCAAGTAAGGTCGAAATGACGTTCTCCGAGAAGCAAATAGCTGCAATTAGAAAGACAAGAGTTCAGACTGTACCACATGCATTCTAACTAAATCTCGTGAGCTCTTGCGAGGACACAGAACTTCAGGATGCACATCACGTTGTCCTCTGCATGTCGTGGACATATAAGAGATGATGACTAAACTGTCAGCGCAACGATCGTGATAAAGTTCACATGCTCGGTATGACTCGCAAAAACGCACGAATCCTTAGCCACCTTTGTTTTAAGCACCATTTTCTTGCAGGATCGTCAGCATTGCTTTGCACCACTTGAGCTGCTCACACGGAACCTTTGCTGACTCACGAAACTAGCACATCACGCGCTTGACGTTGTGTCAGCCTGCATTATCTCAAATGTTGCCACTTCTGGAGCGGAAAGCTCTGTCGTCGCTCATTTGTTGCTGTAGTCTTTAATCGTGATTTCAAACCAAGTACTTGTCGAAGCGTCCTGTATGTGTATAAGTGCTTTGTGGTATCATAACAAGCGAGCTTGTCAGGCAATAATGCAAACTTGGTTCTAGCTGCAAAGACAAGCTAAGGGACTGTCTATTGGGCGAAGTGCATGATGGCTCCCATACAGCTTCCGTGATTGATGTGTGATATAACAAAACTGGACGGCACAAATTCGCAATCAATTACAATCTCGGCTCAATTCGACAATTTATCGAATGCAGCCCCTTCCAATATCTATAATCTGATAGCAACCTGTTTGTGTAACGATTCTTTGTAAAGCTGTTTTATTACCATAGCGACCTTCTCCATTCCACACTTCCTTTGTGGTGAATTCTCTCTATGAGCTTTCGGCGCTCGCTTGGACCTATGCTTGAGGCTCGACATGTACTCGAGCAAAAAGTTGTAAGCCCTGTATGTCACGTAGATAGCTACGATATACCAATCGTGTACCGCGGATAGAGATCACAAATTCCATTCGTATCGATCTCTTCACGCGAGTTTTGTTAGCAGGCGTCAGATTAAAACAAAGTATGCTGTCAGCGATCGTGTAATTGCCCGGTGTCTATCTAGCAACTAGCTTCCTACTTCTGTTAATCCAAAGGCTATTTGTACCGATCCAGGGGTGTAGTGGCACAGCACTGACACCGGGACTGGGAGGAAGCTGGATAGATAGATACCCGTGGTGGGAGGATTCGATTACAGGAAGTCCGAGATAGGCTAATATGTAGACGAGCAACCAGTAATGGGCGACCGCCTTGCCAACCCGTGGGTTGGAGGCCCTACAGGCCGAAAAGCCCCAGTGTAACGAGGGATGCGGGCTCCTAACGAGGTCTCTGAACCCGAGGACACCTCCGGGTGGTCTGAGGAAGTCGCATGGCATGAATCTCTCGTGGCTATTTGTGCCGCTCGCTAGGTGTGTGCTCACATTCATTCTAGCATAGGCTTCAAAACTCGATCTTATCATGTAGGCTTGCACATCTTGGAACGGTCGCATTCGACGTGTTTGCTTTGGCCAGAGTTATCCGGTCAGATACTACACGTGATGTCGATCGCGGTTTTGGTTGGTTCAACTGGAGCTGCACCTACTAATGCGATGCTCGTCTCAACAGGCAGCAATAAAATAGTTTGGGAACCAGCGAACGATGTTTGTACTATTCTGATGGACGTGATTCAAACAGTGATTGACACGACTCATTTCGACTCGCGATACATCAGTAGTGAACACCGGTCGAACAATACCTTCTGGGCGTGGCCGACCTTCCATGCAATGACGCGCCTATTCGCACGACATATCCACACTTTGCGCAAGAAATGACAGGATTTTGTCAAGCAATGTTGGTAGCTAACATCGAAAGCATGTCATTCTTGTGTTTTACATCACCTTAGGTGTCTCATCCTTTATCACCTTTTTGGCTTGATGAAAGTCAGGTTTTCTAGCATGTATGGCGGAGTGGCCTCTAGCTCTTCCTAAGCTCTATCGAGAATGGTCGACGCGGTCTTCTATCATGTGTCGCTATAGTCAATCGCAAGCATACATGCCTTGGTTTCTGTCCTTTAAAGCTGCTATTTCCATGATGACGTTGGCAACCAACAGGGTTCGAACCCGAAAGAAATCTTCTACGGCTGCCTGTGCATTGTGGTTAGACGCTCACCGACTGCCACAATGTCAGCCGCTTGTCTTATACATGTGCGCCATCGAAACAAAGTGGCACATTCGACATGGTCATAGACTGTTTCCGATATGACACGTAACATACCATGAAAAAAAGAACCATCATATACCCCCTCCATCGTAGCATATCGCATCAATACCGGTAATCTTCAACTTCCCCAGCGACCTTTGTTGCCCGACACAACTGAACGCCCTCCTTTCCTTTCCATTGCGCGCGCGCACTCGCCCATCTCGTCCGCGCGCGGTTTCCTTTCTCCCTCTCTCTCTCTACTTCCATCATGGGCCACATCGCGCGTCTTGAGGTCGAGAACTTCAAGTCCTACGGCGGGTTCCACGTGATCGGTCCGTTCCATCGCTTCACGGCCGTCGTGGGCCCCAACGGCAGCGGCAAGAGCAACCTCATGGACGCCATTTCCTTCGTACTGGGCGTGCACTCGCGCCAGTTGCGCTCGACGCAGCTGCGGGACTTGATCCACCGCTCTCCCAACGACCACGAGACGGACACGGAGCGCTCAGCGTTCGTGACGCTTGTGTACGCGCTGTCTGCAGACGAGCCACTACCAGCAGCCAAGTCGCTTTTTTTAGATCCGACTCAGCATCTGAGTCCGAATCAGCATCTGAGTCCAAGGGAGCTCACGTTCACGCGCCTCTTGTCGGACAAGGGCGTGGGCACGTACCGTCTCAACGGCCACGACGTGAGCGCCGAGACGTACCAGACGCAGCTCAAGGCCATTGGCATCTTGGTCAAAGCCCGCAACTTCCTCGTGTTCCAAGGCGACGTCGAGTCCATTGCGAGCAAACGACCCGCCGAGTTGACCAAGCTCTTTGAGCAGATCGCCACGTCCGACGAGCTCAAGAGCGAGTACGACAAGCTGCTGGAGGAGAAGAACGCAGCTGAAGAAGACACGATCTTCGCGTACAAGCGGAAGAAGGGACTTGTGGCAGAGAAGCGTCTGGTGAGCAAGGCGGTCCGTTTTTTGCTCGGTTCTTGTTGTTCCATTTGCTGACGACTGTTGTCTCGTTGTTGTGTCTTGATGGGGGAGGGGTAGGTGCGGGAGCAAAAAGAAGAGGCAGAGCTGTTTCGGGAAAAGCTGGAGGCTCTGGTTTGTCGTGTCGGGTGCTGGTGGCGGCTCTTTGTTTTGCAGGTACTCACGGGTGGCTACTTGTTTTGTTTTTTCTATTGTGTTGTGGGCGCAACGTTGTTGTCGTGTAGACCGCGCTCCGGGTCGAGCATTACTTGTGGCAGCTGTTCCAGGTTGGAGATGATATTACACAGCGCGAGGAGACGGTGCGGCATTATCAAGACGCGCATCGTACTTGTTTGAAGAAAGCAGAGGGCGTGGCGCAGGTTTACCATGAAAAGAAGAAACAGTTGAGCGTGAGTTTCCGGGACGTGAAAAGTAATCGCGGGCAGATCCAAGCGGTGCAAAACGGGGTGGACGATATCCGGCCGCAATTATTTAAGCTGCGTGAGCAGATAACGTATGCTCAAAAAAAGATTGCGGAGGCAGAGGCAGCTGAGAAGACAATGAAGCGGCGGCACGAGGGAAAGTCGACTGAAGTGGAGGACTTGAAACGCGATTTACAAGAACTCGAGAGAGCAAAAGCAGAACTAGACGCAACCCAGAAACGTGCGAGCCAAGATGGTGAAAATGGGGCGCTGGTCCTCGAAGGCTCACGCTTGAAGGAGTATCACCGACTGAAGGAAGCAGTTCAAGTCCAGACGAGTGCCATGCGAAACGAGCTGGAGTCTATCTTACGTCAGCAGAACGCAGATCAAAATAAGGTCGAGACATTGACTCAGGACCGCCAGGAAAACTTGAAGATGGTGGATATGCTGACTGAGGACCTGAAGGTTGCTGACGAACGAATCGCCACGATGCAACGGGTCATTGCTGACACGGAGCATGATATTGCTCAAGTTGAAGAGATGTTGCAGACAGTCGATAAAGAGAATCGAAGTCAGGCGCACAAGAAAGAGAAAATGACGGATCAATTGACTCGCGTAAGCAACAAGTTGCGCGATCTCAAGGACGATAAGCGGCAGTCACAAGCGGAAGCTCGCAAAACAGAGACGCTCGAGACTTTGAAGCGATTATATCCTGGTGTCCGTGGTCGTCTCGTGGATCTTTGTAAACCAATTCAACGAAAGTATAACATGGCTGTAACTGTGGCTACTGGAAAGCACATGGACGCGATTGTGGTGACAGACTACAGAACCGGACAAGACTGTATCCAGTATCTCCGTGATGTCCGTGCAGGCAGTGCTCCGTTCATACCGTTGGACAGAATTCGGGTAAAACCTATTAATGAGCGCTTTCGTGGTCTCGGAAACGCCATCAAGATGGTGGTCGACGTGATCGAATGTGACGCAGAGGTTGAGCCTGCATTGCACTATGCCGTTGGCGATACTGTTGTCTGCGAGTCAATCGACATTGCTCGCGATCTGTGTTTCCGTCAAAATGAGAAAGTGAAGGCAGTAACGCTAGACGGGCAAGTGGTTAGCAAAAATGGAAGTATGACAGGCGGCAAAACGCCGAGTGACTCGCGCCGAGCTGGTCGATGGGATGAGAAAGAGGTCGAGGCATTGCAGCAGCAAAAAGATGGTCTAGTCGATGAGTTGCGCGCATTGGATATGCATGGCGCATCGTATGCTAAGCTACAGACATTACGTACGCAGCTGGAAGGGTTGCATAGCCGACTTAGCCGTGCAAAGGCCGATCTTGGTATTACGGAAGGGAAAAGACCTAAGATCCAAGCTCGAATCGACGACGCCAAGAAACGAGTCGCTGACGTGGTCGACCCAGAGCTGCAAAAGTTCAACTCTGTCGTAGCGTCTAGAAAGAGTAAGATTACTGCGCTCCAGGAACGGATTAATGGTGCAGAGGACGAAATGTTTGCTGAGTTTAGTGAAGCAGTCGGCGTCGAAAGTATTCGTGTCTACGAGGAGACGGTGCTTAATCGACACCACAAGGCCCTAGAAATGCGCCGCAAAATTACGGAACACGAAGCTAAGCTGCGCGCGCAGGTATGGTCGTGGTGCCGGCGTCTCTGTTGGTGGCTCTAACCTTGTCATTTTGTGTCGTGTGTTTCAGATCGAGTATCTGCAGTCACAGGATTTTGGTCAGCCCATGCTTGCAGCAAAAGAAAAAGCAGCTCGAGAGTATCAGCGCTTGAAACAGTTATCAGAAGAGGAAGCGAGGCTTCTGAAACGAGAGGCAACATTGTCCAAAGAGAAAAAAGAGCTAGAAGTGCAACGCAAGAACTTGGTTGCCGCGGTGGATGAACTTGAAAAAGCGCTTCGTGAAATTGGCAGCAAGAAGGCAAAATACGAGGAGCGGGCAGGCAAAATCCGTCGGAGGATTGCATCTGAGGAGACAGTGCTTGAGCGTTTAAAAGACCACAAGACTGAAATATTCAAGCGGGCGTCGCTGGATCAAGTTAAACTGCCCCTTGTTGCTCGCAAACAATCGAGCCGCGGTTGCGAGGATGTTGAGATGGAAGATGCTGAAGGGTCAAGCAGCGTTGGAAACTCCGAGCTCTTAGTGGGAAAGGATGCAGCAAACCAAGAAGTGGATTTCTCAGCTCTACCAGACGCCCACGTCGTGGTCGACGATAAGGAATTTGACGAGATCAATTCCAAGTACGAGAAGCGGATCGGACTGCTGCTTGCCGACTTGGACCGAATGCAGCCGAACATGCGCGCGCTCGACAAGTTTGATGTGATCCTAAATCGAATCGGCAAGGAAGAAGAGGAACTAGATCGAATCAAGCAGCAGTCTTTGCGTACAGCGTCGGAGTTTGAAAGGGTCAAGCTCGCTCGGAACGAGCGCTTCATGAGAGCGTTTAACCACATTTCGGGCGTGATTGATTCAACGTACAAGCAGCTCACAAAGAGCTCCAAGCATCCACTTGGAGGCACGGCATACCTGAGCTTGGAGAACTTAGAAGAGCCGTACTTGAGCGGCATGAAGTACAACGCCATGCCGCCAATGAAGCGTTTCCGTGAAATGGAGCAGTTGTCGGGCGGTGAGAAGACGGTCGCGACACTCGCGCTACTGTTTGCGATTCACAATTACCGCCCGACGCCATTCTTTGTGCTCGACGAAGTGGATGCTGCTCTGGACAATGTGAACGTGAACAAGGTGTCGACGTATATTGCGAACTGTGACTTCCAGTGTGTCGTGATCTCGCTCAAGGACTCGTTTTACGAAAAGGCTGATGCACTCGTCGGGATCTGCAAAGACATTACGTCGCAGCAGTCGCGATCCATGACGCTGGATCTCACTGCCTTCAATTAATCAGGTGACAGCCGGGGTTTTGTCGCTGTCGCAACAATAGCTCGTTGATTGGTCTATAACAGGATTTGATTTTCGTTCAATCACCTCGAGTTGTTCCTCTTTCAAGTCTCAGGGATCATTGTTGGCATAACTGCTGAGCGAAGATGCCATCAACGGTGGCAGTGGACGACGCGATTCGCACGCTGAGCGTGGAGCTGACGAAGGACAAAGACGCCGCTGTTATCGGCAAGTACGTGTGTTGTGTGTTGATTAGTTACGGAAGTATCGCAAAGCCTTTACTTCTGGTATGTGTTTGTGGTATACTTGAAAAATAGAACAGAGGCGGAGAAAACGGTGCTGACGCATTACGCTGCTAAGGGTCGGCGTCGCGCTGCTATGGGAGCCATCGCTGGGTCCTCGGTCATGGCAGGATTGTGGAAAATGTCGAAGAATCGGCAAAGACTGGCTGGGGCGTTCGCAATGGTTTGTGAGTAGCTAAATTGTTAATTGTCTCATTGCTTTTCAGGTCCTTCTCGATCGAGTAATCACTCACATGTCCGCTCATACTATCCGCAGCTGGCGGTCTCTTTGGAGCTTCGTACGGTGTCATAAGCATTCGTCGGGACTTGCTCTCGGATCTTCTGATGCTGCCACCGGACAAGTCGCCTTTTGCAACTCATGCCAGGACCATGTACGTTGTTCTTACGGTTGTGTCAGATCGTTGTTCGATAGTGTCTTTGTGTTTTCTGACTTTTGTAGTTGCTAGTCTGACGAGCAAGATACCAGAGAATACGTTCGTGCAGGAGCTCAACGAGAAGTTCAAGGACTCGCTGGCGACAACGTTCGTCCAATGCGTGACAGCTCTACTTTTTCCATCACGAGTTCTTACTCTCTGCCATGCGCTTGTGGTGTAGTGATTCGTGGACTGATGATGCCGATGCACCGCGTACTTCTGGACCGAAACCCTCAATAGGCCTTCCATCTCCAGCGCACCGTTTCGACAACAAGAGTGACCACATCATCTCTTCGACCACGGGCTTCGATCTGTCGCGTACCAAGAAAGATCCCAGCGACGATGATTTTGGAGAGCCGAATAACAGTGAAAGCCGCTTGCCGATCTTTTTCGGTGCAAAGCCTTCGTCGGATGAGGCTTCGGACGATGGCAACAACAATACTCCACTTCCTCGCGACCGCTTTACGCGGGATACTCGCCGCTCGAATCCCGACAAGAATGCGGCGCCACTGCGCCACGACGAAGATGACTACTTTTTCGACGTAGCCGGCAGTCAGGATGCTCCAGTCCAACCCACTACTTGGGAAGAAATCCGACGTCGGGCTGCAGAGCAGCGCAAGTGAAGCCTTTGCTTGCTAGCAACTGCTGAAGCAAACGTGTGCGCGAAAAGTATAATGAAAGGGTCTTTGCTCGCTCCTGTATTACTGATGAGTGACGATGACATGGAATTCTTCGACTCCTCGACTAGTCGCGTTCGGGGGATCACAACTTATGTCTAGTGCGACTTCGCCATGACCACCAATTGCAGCACACCCACAATATCGACTGTCAGTAACTGAAGCAGAGACGGCTGCAAGTCGCACGTGACGCGATCATTTTCGACGTGTCTGCCATCGCCTGCCACCATTTTCCTCACTATATACGTATCGACCCAAGCTTCTGGCCATGCTGGAACTGGCTGTCGTCGTGTGCTCGACGTCAGGAAAACCTGTTTTCTACTCTGTGGTCTCAACTTCATTATCAACGACGTGGACATCAGCAGAAGACGAGACATCGTCCATTAGTTCGTTCATGAGTTCACTTCAAGGTCTCCTGTCGTTCGTGGTCTGTACGCAAGTGGAAGAGCTGCAGGAACTCGAAAGCGAAGGACGTCGCTGCGTGTTCTACAGCACCGAAAGTCTCACTTTTGCTGCCATTGAACGGGACGTTACTACCAAGGACACTAACAAGAGGACGGTGACATGCTTTTCATTGGAATGTCTGAAGCATCTGCTGCACTTGCTGCAGACTCACGTTCGGTTTTTACTGAGCGATCGAGGGCTCACTGTGCTGCAGAAACAGCCGAACTATGACTTACGCCAACTTCTCGATGGAACGGAGCAAGTTACGAGGTCTTTGACGGAACTTTGGGCAGTGAATCCGACGCTGCGATTCAAGGACTTCGGTGTGCCGTTCGTTCGGCTGAAACTTGCGCGACGACGGGAAGTCACGAGGATTTTGGCGTCAGTTAAAGCAGAGACGGAGCAGTTGACGTCCACGATGATCTGTGGGTTGTTGCTAGCCAAGGAAAAGGTGGTGGCGATTGCACAGCCAAAGAAGAAGCGGTTTAACATGCTCGTGGATGGTAAGGATGTATGTTGATGGAGTGAGAGGATGGATGAGGAGATACTGTTGCCCCACTGACACGAGTAACTGTGTGGTGTTTGTTTGTTTGCCGGCAGACCTTTTGCTGCTCCTCAACTTCGTTTACCACACACCATCACTAGCAAAGTTCGAAACGTGGACGCCCATCTGCTTGCCTCACTTCAATGCTCGGTACGTGACTGCTGAGTGACATGACACGTGCTTTTTGTTGTTATAGTGGAAGTGGGTGGTGTGGCTGTTTTCCTCTGATTGAGCTGCTGACGCTTGACGCTTTGTGTGAACTCGATTGATCTATCCACTGTGTATGTGCTAGAGGATTTCTGTACGCGTACGTGACTTTCTTGACGCCAGACGTGTGTTTGCTGCTGCTAAGTAGTCACCAATCAGTCGAGCAATTCCCGCACTTTCAGGCGAAGAAAACGTTCATAGCGCGGCGTCTCGAAGACAGTGGGGCTCTGCATGATATTGAAAGTTCAGTGAGGAACCATTCCGAGTGGCGACCTCATTCGGATCTACCACTGCTGCAGCACTTCATCTACAAAAATGAACTCACGGGCGAGTGTGCTGAGCCCGCGTTGGGGTTTCCATTCGACGATGCAGATTTCCACACGCGTCTGCAGCTCTTGACCCAGTACGCCACGATACACCACTTGATGTTCCCGAGTCCAGCTGACCCTCAAACTCAAAAGAGTCAAGTTCTAGGCACTCGCCTTTCGTCATTGCAAGAAGGCACGGCAGCACGAATGGTATACGAGCGCAGTGACACGGGTCTCTTTGTGGGTATGTGTAGTGCTGACTACCGGCTGCTCGTCTGGTTCGACTCACACGTGACAATTTCTGACGCCCGGAAGCAAATGCAAGTGGTGCTCGATCGAGTAAGCCACGATGAAGAGCTCATGTCCGTTGCTCTCTTCATTTCCAGTGGTGAATTATCATAGGACAACTCGCTTGGAATGTGGCTTTGAGCTGTTGGAAGCGAAGGATGGTAACATTCTAGGCACCGGTGGTCGAAGTCAGCTTGATGGGTGTCAACAGTCATAGTTTCCGAAGTGAAATGTACAGCAGTTCGTGTGGACTTTCTATAAGGTGCTGTGATCAGACATGGCGAACGTCTTTGTTGTGTCGGCATTGCCAGTTTGACGTTTCGATCTTGGTAACATCATGCAGTGATTGATCCGTGGTGTTCCTCTCCCGTAGCTTCGATACAACTTGCACAAGCTGCAAGTGAAGTCCCGATACCCTCTTTTTGCATCAAAGAAGTGTTACACACTCTCTGTACTCCAGCTGCACCACTATGTCTATCCTTCATGCTTGTTCGAAGCTTTGACATGCCGTCCCATCCAATGCCAACAACTTGCTGCAATGATGAACCGCGTCAATCTATTGCGACTGACTGAATGGATGTCAAGATCTCAGAGCTCGACGGGAGCAGCGCGTAAAAACTTACAGGTCACCCACTGATGGGTACGATTGTGAATGTGCTGGTATATCCGGACCACGTGACAACGCCAGGCACAGATGTGTTAACGATAGTGTGCCCCGCCAACAGTGTCGAAAGACATGTTGGTAATAGTCCGAGATGATGAAGCCGAATGTGTGCTTTCAAATTCGCATCCACATTCAGTCCGCGTCAGCCTATCTTCACAGACCCGCGTAGGTCCCCCCACTAAACAAAGTTGATCCTTTAATCGTCATAGCAAGCAGCTCTTGGCAAACGATGTTTGATCACTTCGTCTGAGACGCCATGCTCGACACAGAAGAACTCCACATCATCCTTTCATTCATCGATCGGGAGTGTCAAGTCCACCTGGTCTTCTCACGCTGTCTGTCCCCCCACAGTAAATGACAAAAAAAACACCCCCTATAATAAGCATTCCACGACGCTTGCATCTCAACATCTAAAATCGTACAAATGCCAACCCAATGTGTGTTAAAAAGGTTCTGCAACCTAATTCGCCGTAGAGGCCTTTGCACTTTATTTCCGGTGAGCTTCTTCTTGTTTTTGCCTGCCCCAAATAGCCCGTCGGTGATCACTACCACTTAGCAAACAGCTGCACAAAAAAGGTACGTAAAAACAGTATTACTCTCGTATCCCGCTCTGTTATGCGGTACGACAATGATGTTTTTTTCACTTATTGCTTCGCACTACTCCTTCTTCCGTTAAGCGCTTGATAACGTGTTTTTCCACGATAACAAAGAGCTCGGGCACGTCACTGGGCAATTGACACGACACAAAGCACTGCCGTCCCGTACGACGCGCCAATCGCTGGGCAATCTGCTGCTCGTCCGTGTCAGACGCCCCCAGAACGGACGTGATGAGCGGCATGGGACTATAGCGAGTCGTGATTGCCGTCGACAAGGACGCGAGACGGGGCTTGTCGGCTGCTGTACCCATGTAGACAAAAAGACAGTGGCTTAGTAGCCATAGCTGGACCACGTACCCCTGGTCTAGCAACGTCCCGGAGAGGTCCATGACGCGCATTCCGTCGTCCGCAGTCGAAGAAATGCTGTATATCCGCGTTAGTTAAGCAGTCAGATACACGTTAGTCGGTTGAGGGCTCTTCCCACGATACAAGCAAAGGGCTCGTACCCTCGAAAGTGGCGGTTTCAAGTTTGAGTGGCCTGCCGTGTATACATGTATGTGGTGTGCACCACACAAAAGATCTTGACGCACACAGTAGGGAAGTTGGGTACAAAGTTCCGCGACTTTCTAACAGCAACTATCACTTTTAATCAAGGTACTACCACATACAACCACTTTTATTCAAGTTATTAGCGCTTACACCACGTTCACCAGCTTTTAGGGTTTGTACCAGTTGGTATCGTTTCATCCTGCTTTTAACAGTTTTACATGCATGATTACAGCTCCATAAAGCAGGTTCTCACCATGGAGAGTGGCCGGACCGAGTGAAAACATCAAAATGCGATGGAAAAACCGTGCCAGAAGGTATTTGCTAGTCACTATGTAGAAGAAAAGAGATCTGCATACACAACGCATGCACCAATATTTCATTGTCCGACCGGTCGCTGAAGAGGTTCCCAGCCTTAAAGTTTGCCTCAATAGGAGCATCTGCGCACGACTGTATCATGCTGTTAGCAGAGATATCGCAGATAACCAGCACTACAACATGGAATGCCTGTGCAATGAGGACCTCCATGCGAACTTTCTGTGGTTGAAACCAAGTGGACAGTAGTTGCACTTGGACTTGACTTTCTCCCAGCCATTTTACCTTCTCATAGAACGTCCACACCAGAAGATGAAGACATACGATGGTGGGCATTTTACATCTGCGAATCGCAAAGAATGGGTTAGAAATATCATGGCATTGCAGAGAAGCATGCGTAAAGTCTTTCGCGGGCATAGTGGGCCTTCAAGACTAATTGCGTACATGGCAGACCATGATTCTTACCCGTGCCATATCCCCTTCTTTTTTTGGGGCTAGGTGGTAACGGGTGGCGACGGACATTGTAATTGCAGCGCAACCTCCCTTTTGTAACCTTGACTGGTAAAAGTAAGTATTGGTAAAAGTTGGTTCAAAAATGTGGCCTTGTTTAAACGTGATTAACGCTGGTAAAAAGTAAAAGGCTTTCAACAGGGACTTTTTACCTAACATCCCTCACATACATGACTGTAAAGTGCGATCGCTCTATGATTGGATGAAATGGTGTCAACCCGCACGTTGTGTCACAATTGAAAGCACATGTCGGCCGACGCGAGTCTCGAGGAGCTTGAGGCGCGACTTGTGACGTTCACAGAGCAGCTGCAGAACATCCAGGAGCTACTGCAGAGTGACGAGACGAATGAGGAGTTCCTGAGCATTGCTAAAGACCTCGTCGAGGTCATTGAGCTTACGAAAGAGACGGTGTGTGGATGTTTTACGGCTAATTTTGACTCTTTTATCGTGTAAATGAGCCCAATTTGTCCTTGAATTTTTGCTACAGATTGACCTCAAGGTGAACAAAACGCTGTCAGTTGTCCAAGATTTAGAGCCGCAAAAGATCCAGGAATGTCGTCAAGAGCTGCCTTTGCTTGGTATATGAGACGCGTGGGGTGCTCCTGTGGACGACGAAGTGCTGACTTTTGTGCGATGTTGTGTATCATTTAGAGATTGAGTTTGAGCCAGACACAGCAGTTGAAGCGCTGCAGCAAGGCGTGTGGTACCCAGCACATGTGGATTCCGTAACGAGTGATGGACACTACAACGTGACATTTCTGGGCTTTGGCACGTCTGCCGCGCTCCAGCAGAACGAATTGAGAGCCATTTTTGTTGACGCAGAGGAAGCGGCGCGGTTGCCAGCTAAGGAATCGATTACAGACGGGTTTAAATGTCGAGCCAAGTACTACGCGGATGCGGTAGTTTACTCGTGCTCGGTCACGAAAGTCACGCCTTTGGGCTTCCAGGTGCTGTTTGACGGCTACGGAAATTCTGAAGAAGTGCCGTATGAGTACCTGAGACCAGCAGCGGAGTCACCGCAAACAGTAACAGACACTGGTGTTGCTCTGACATGTACCTCGGATCCACGTGATGGCGCTGCTGCTGCAGCGCTTGTGCCGAAGGTGGCACCTGCAGTCATCCACAAACCCATTAAAGTTCCTGAAAACTTGCAGATATTGCCTTCCGACACCGAGGCTGAGAAAGAGCGCAAACGCAAACGCTTGCGTGCTATCAAGAGCTTGAACCGACACAAAAACATTGATAATGAGCGCAATATCAAGCAGCACGACTGGAAGGCCTTCCAGCACAAGGCGAAAAAGAAGGGTATAAAGAAAGGTGTTAGCGGGGTGCTGTCCAAACGAGGCTCGAGTATGTTTGCTTCTCCGCAAACGGTGGAGGGCCGCGTGGGTGTTATGGGTAGCGGTCAGGGCATGACGAACTTTCCGGATGCAAGGAACAAGAAGTCCAAGCACACGTAGAAAGCCAAGGTGAGCCAACGCGGCTGTAACAACTGTTTTGGCTTTCTCTCGTCGTGTGTTGCCAATTTGTGGATGTTTTTGTGCCATTTTTATGCAGCAGCTTTCTTGCAAGACGATGTGTGAGTTTTCCATTGTTCGGACAGATTCGCTGTCGTGCTTAGGACGCAGCCTCGGTCATGGCGAGCTGCTGCGATTGACCGCAGGCTGCTCACTTTACTCTCACCTAGCTACGGAGACACTACGACCGTACGTGTCCCATCACGTCCGTCACTGCGATAGAAATGGTGGATGGAAGAGATGGACCAAATGAGATCAGACGATCCGATGTCATCAAACCCATCGAGTGGTGCTTTCAGCTTCTGCTGGTAGCAAAGGATGGAAACGAGATGAGAAAGAGGACGGTATCAGAGACCTGACTGCCTTCGTCCCAGCCGAGTTGACACGCTTGACAAGGATCATCGACATCTGTCCTGAGCCACCAACTGGAGCTCCGGAGTGTTCTGCTGCAGGAACAGGTGGTGGATCCATGACTTTTGCGAATGCTTTGCCTCATCAGCAACTTTCAAAGGGCGACAATGTCGGTGGACAAAACGCGCAGAAGATTCCATCGCAGAGGTGGATGCCGAAGGAAAGCTGGACTGATCGTTCATAAGCGTACAAAGGACGAAAGAACGCTGACCTGCACGCCACACTCGCCACGTTCGCCATGACTGACTGGCAGCTCTCCTCAACCTCGTTACTGTTTGCGTGATCAGGTAACAGCCACTGTCACTGCGACCAATTCCATAGTCTGCTGCATCTTTACACGAGCTTCACCATCGACTGAAGGTCGACGTAGCTGTTGCTTATCGCTACTTCTGTGCCACGTTAATGGTACACAGTGCATCCCACTAACTTCCTAGCCAATTCAACCAGTGCAGCAACCACCCTTTCGATCTCACCACCGACTCGACTTTGTCGATCCCCCCCTGGCTACCACTCAAACAACCGGTATCTATCTCGTCACAAGGTCGTGCTCTGATTACCGGTACGTCCACCGGTTCCTCGTCCCATCGCACTGGTACAGTGTCCCACTCGATGCTCCTCCGACTCGACGTCGTTCCCCCATCATCGACTTGCGTCCAGCTCCTCACCTGCTCTCTCTCTCCCTCCCTCTCCCTCTCTCTCGCCCTGTCTCTTCTGCGTCGTCAGCCAAGCCGCGTCTCCCGCCATGAAGAAGCTCGTGATCAAGCCGTTCCGTCAGCACTTGGGCATGGACCACACGCGTGCGCAGGAGATCTGGACGTCGCTCCGCACGGCCATCTACGAGATCTTCTCGCACAACGCGAGTCTCTTGTCCTTCGAAGAGCTCTACCGCAACTCGTACAACCTCGTGCTGCACAAACACGGCGACGTGCTGTACAACGGCGTCGTGGGCGTCATCACGGAGCACTTGGAGACGGTCGCGGACCACGTCGCTGCCGTGACGGACGATCTGCTGCTCGTCACGCTCAACCAGCAGTGGCTCGACCACCAGCTTGTCATGACCATGGTGCGGGACATCCTTATGTATATGGACAGGACGTACGTGACCCAGAAGCGCAAGGTGCCCGTGTACGACACTGGGTTGTACATTTTCCGGGACGTGATCGTGCGGCACGACAGTGTGCGGGACCGATTACGGACGCGATTGCTCTATAGTATTGAGCGTGAGCGACAGGGGGAGTTGATTGATCGAGACTTGATGAAGAGCGTGCTCCGCATGCTCGTGGACCTTGGCGTGCACTCGAATTCCGTGTACGAACATGACTTTGAAAAAGCGTTCCTGGAGACGACGCTCGACTTTTATCGAGCAGAAGCCCAGACGATGCTTGACGTTGCAACGTGTCCCGAGTACTTGGAGAAAGCTGAGCAACGACTGCATGAAGAAGGGGCGCGGGTATTGCAGTACCTGAATGTCTCGACGGAGCACAAGTTGAAGACGATTGTCGAGACGCAGTTGATCAAAAACCAGGCCAAAGCACTGGTGGACATGGAGCAATCGGGATGTATTGCCCTTTTTCGAGATGGAAAGACACTGGCACTGCGCAGGATGTACTCGTTGTTTCGACGAGTGCCGAGCACGTTGCTGGAAATGAGTGACTCTGTGTTGCAGTATATTAAAACTCATGGCGAGGAAATTGTGAAGACGCAGCTGTGTCCCGAGACAGCAATGGATGCATCGCAGTTTGTGGGCAAACTGCTTGGTCTGCGTGAAAAGTTTGTGATGTTCTTGGCTGACTGCTTTTTTGACGACCCGCAGTTTCATAAGTCAATTAAACAGGGATTTGAGGCGTTTATGAACACGAACACAGTGTGTGCTGGATACTTGGCACACTATCTGGACGAGTTGCTGCGCTCAAAGAATCGATTCGAAGAAGAAATGGACACTCGCGTAAGCCACGTGATTGCGCTGTTCCGGTATCTACAGGATAAAGATGTTTTTGAGGAGTTTTACAAGGTGCTGCTTGCCAAGCGTCTCTTGAATAGTCGTGGCAGCTCGGATGAGGCAGAAAAGCTGGTGATTTCGAAGCTGAAAGCCGAATGTGGTTACCAGTTTACATCGAAACTCGAGGGTATGTTTAAGGATATGAGTATATCGAAAGACCTTATGGAGCTGTACCGAAAGTCGGGCTACGATACTAAATGTAGCGGTGTCGGCGTCGACACATCCATCGCGCCGGTGCCGCTATCGGTCCACGTACTCACGAGCGGGTTCTGGCCCACGGAGATGGTTCCTTCGTGTGCTCTTCCACCCGAGCTTGTTCAGCTGACGGAGGTGTTCGAGTCTTTCTATAACGCGCGGCACAATGGTCGTAAACTGGCTTGGATGACAAACATGGGTACCGTTGATATTCGTGCCACGTTTACGGCGGGCGTCGAGGATCCTAAGCGTCGCCACGAGCTAAATGTGTCCACGTATCAAGCCGTCATCTTGATGCTGTTCAACCAGCGTTCTCAGTGGCGCTTCAAAGAGCTGGTCGAGTGCACGCGAATTGATGCAAAGGACCTCAAGCGGCATTTGATTTCTCTCTGTACGCCCAAGTACAAGATTCTGATCAAGAGCTCGAAGGGAAAACGTATCGATGAGGAGATTGACGCGTTTACAGTGAATGGTGCGTACAAGTCGAAACTGCACCGTGTACGGATACCTCTAGTATCACAAAAGGAGACGTCACTGTTGCCTGCCATGGCATTAAGTTCAAGCAATCGCGAGGCATTACCACCTACGGTGGCCGAAGATCGGAAGCATCTCGTCGAGGCAGCAATCGTGCGTATCATGAAGACGCGCAAGCAGATGCCACACAATCAGCTCATTGCCGAAGTCACGCGTCAGATGACAAATCGATTCACACCGTCTCCACAGCTCATCAAGCTGCGCGTTGAGAGTCTCATCGAGCGAGAGTACCTTCAGCGCAGCACGACAGACCGAAGGATGTACAACTATTTAGCGTGATTGCAGCAAGAAAAGCAGACAAGAGGAGCACGTGAAGAAAAGGATCGGCACACTTCGTAACAAATTAGAGCTCATGGAGCACAACAAGACAAAAGACTCATCCTAATGGCTTCAACAAAACCTCTTTGCCGCTCGTCTCTATCGCCTCATGTCAGCCACGCAAAATTCTACCATATCATGTACATCCCTATTCGCACTCATTGTTCATTGGCTGAATTCCATTTGCCACCTTATTCCTCAAAATTGACCAATCATTGTCATCAAAAGGGACCAATCATTTTCATCCGCTACTAACTTGGTGCGTGGAACTCATGACAGCGACCGAGCGACTTGGGTGCTCGACGCTGCGGTCCGTAGCGGTGCAGTCGACGCACATCCAGCGTGTCCAGCTCCTGGACTCCTCGAGAAGCGTGAAAACATCCCGTATCAGCGTTGGGCTGACTGTTCGTCGACGTTGGCAGCGTCCATGGCGTGTGAAGTCGTGGCTTTCACTGCTGCTGGGCTTTTTGTATTGCGTAACGTATTGTGGAGCTCCTGCAGCCGCTAGTACAACGCTTGGGGGACACAATAACCACAATAGCAATATGGTGGGACCGTCCAGTGACCTCTACATTGTCTTGGTGAGCATCCCCGTGCTGGACAAGATGCTGCCGCTCAAGCACTTGGCCGAGACGTTGCTATCTCGTGGTGTTCGGGTGGGCTATGCGCTGCCTGAGGACTGTCGTCAATGGGCAAGTGACGTGGAGGGACTCGAGTTCATTTCTCTGAGCGGTGTCTCGAGCAAAGACCGAGCGTCTGCTCTGGACTCGGGGGAGCTACAAGGCGTTGACGTTTATGAAAACCATGTCAATACGCTGCGACACTATGCGTCGTTCCAGCGGCCAATGCTTCGACCATTACGGGAAAATCTGGAACATGATCGACCAGATCTTGTGGTGGTGGATCGATACACTTTTGCAGGCTTTGACGTCTGCCATCAACTGGAGCTGCCATATGTTGTGAACGATCCGCACTTGTTGCTGGATATCGATTCGCCTCCTGCTTATATCCCGGCACCTTTCTCCAGCTATACTATGCACGTAAGAAGTTATTGAAAACGGAGGGTGAGGAGGATACTGGTGTATAAAGATGTGCGAATGATCTGACGTTTATGTTTGCTCGGGTGTTCATTGAAACAGACGTTGAGTGTGCTTGAACGGTGTTTGAATAGTTACTATCGACTGCGTTTTCGACTTGGACTTGTGAATGTGTACAAGGAAATTAATGCCGTGCGGCGAGAACACGGACTCGCCGCTATTGAGACCAAGCATCAAATGCATGGCCAGGTGCTCGTATTAGTAAACTCGGTCTTCGGACTGGATGAGGCGCGTCCAATGACGCCTCAGTTCCGAATGGTAGGCCTGTTGCAGTCGCAGAAGCTGCAGCTTGCATGCGCAGAAACTAAGAGCACTTCTGTTAGACAGAGCAGGTTTCCAGCGTCTCTGACGAAGTGGTTAGACGATCCGGGGAACCAAGAAAAACCATTGATCTTCATCAGCCTGCATGCCGATGTGCCTTCGACGTCCGAGTCCTTCGCAACTATCGTATGTCTCGTGCTGTTCTCGAAAATGGCTCACATGTTGATCCGTGGCTAACCATTATTTCGCTGTGGGATGAATATGGGCAGATGAATGCACTGGAAACCGTGCATGCCCGACTCTTGTGGAAGGCAACGGTACACGAACAAGCCGCCTATGACCTGCGCGCACGTCCGCGCGACTCGGTATTATTTCTCGGTGAGGGACTGGAGGATGCAGCAATACTTGCTCTTGTCCCTGAGATAGAGTTGCTCATCACCACAGGAGACTTTCAGAGTATGCAAGAAGCTCTCGTCGTTGGTGTGCCTATCTTGGGCCTTCCTTGCTCAGCCGAGCAACTTGAGGGTGTGGACGCTGTTGAGCGAGCGGGTGCTGGTATACGACTGGACGGAAAAGCATTGTCCGAGAGCAGCATTCGCCTGGCAGTGGAGAGAATACTACTGGAAGACAAAGAGTACTTTACCTCCAATGCTGAGCATGTCGGCGAGCTAGTGAAGACTGGTGGAGGGGTGGATCGCGCCGTGGACGAGGTGTTGGCTGTCACTGAATTCGGGTCTCGCCATTTGCTGCCAATGCGCAATCTGCAGCCGCTTTACAAGGTGTACCTCGTGGACGTGTATCTGATCTACGGTGTCATTCTCTGCGGTGCAGCCATTATCTTGCGCACGTTTGTGTCGCTTGTGCTATCGGTTTTCCAGCCTGTCGCTCTGCTCGGGGTACCTAAAGCGGAAGATGTTGCAGCGAACGACCAATCGAGTTAAGTGACGAGGTGAGCTATGAGATGGAGCATCAAGAGTTCACACGCCCCACATCGACATCCCACTCATTGTGGACAGATGGAGTGGCGTTCTCACTAGTCGTGTCCTTTATTCCACGTGATACCTTGCCATAGGCTCAGTATCACAAGATTGAGTAAAGTCTGGTCGACTGGTGGTAACAAAACTCTTTGGTGCTGAGTCGTTCGGGTCAGAATCTGTTTCGTTGGTCGAAGTTTGCAGCAAGAACTTTTACAACGACGGCTGAAGGTTTGCCATAGCGAGTGGTAGCAGCAATTTGAAGAAGCAGTATTTGATGCGACCATTTAGCCAGTTGATCGTCGTCGTCGTTGTCTTGTTATCTTCTACATTGCCACTTGTCTACGCTCTTCTTCCATTTCGAGCGCCTTCACTCACAATCCGATCTTCACAAGTCACATGGAATGGTGAGGTCCACCCATACGTACTGCTGTCAATAAACCCACTGGTCATACCGAAGCCACTATACAATCAAGGCAGCGACTAATTGTTTCCAAAGTGCCTTTTCGCGCCACCATCTGGACCTTCAGCTGTAATTACCACATACCTTCACCTGTTAACAGAACACAAACTCCGCATGCCGTTACTATTACCATAGAAAACACAGGTCCAACGTAACAGCATGATGTGATACTGTTCCGTCGACAGGTTAGAAAAACGCTCGTTCTCTTAACCTCGAGCCCTCCATTTCTAATTCGGTTCAGATCCACCTCTCCTTCCACCTCCATCCCCAGCGACCGCTGAAGTTCAGTCCACCAGTCAGACAGGGCAATCGTCGCCTCATTTATGCACCGTGCGCGATCGAAGCAGCTGTTCGGGTTTGCTCATCATGGCCGTGCCCAAAAGTCTCCTCTAAGAACCCAAATTAAAACTCAATAGTCAGATCAAGTACCGGCCAGTCAGTCAGTCAGTCGATTCGTCCGTCACTTGTGCCAACCGGGACTTGGAGAGCTCCGAGCAGTTGATTCTCCGACCTCTTCCAGGCTCGAGCGGCATGGCTTCGAGCCCCATTCGCTCGGACGAGCAGGACCGATCGACTGCTGACGCCTCGCAGACGCCGTATACAAAGTTCAAGACGCCAGTGACGCGGCAAGAGACTTTCAATAGCGACGCCGAGACGGGCTCGATGGTGTCAACTGCTGCGGGTACAATAACTCGCTTAGGAGGTGGAGGGAGACGGAGCAGACGAGGCAGTCGAGGGTCTAATGGGAGCATCAACGCATGTGATTTCCTGGTTGAAGAAGGTGATACCGAGGACGTTGTAGGTGAAAAAATATCCAGTCGACCGGACGAGGTCAGACCACGGCAAGAACAGGGGAGGAAGGACTCGGATCCGAGCTGTAAAGACGGAGCTACGGAATGCACGATGCAGATGAGTTCAATTGCCATGAAAGGCTCAGAGCTGCCGAGTTTGCCAAGGAGATACCTCAACGGCCAGTTCCAGAGCAATTCGTACTTTTCCAAGAAGTTACTACGACTCTCGCAGCTTATTGTACTTGTCGACCTGGTTGCGCTGGGATTCTTCTACTTTCACAAAGTTGATCCTGCTACTAGTTCACATGGCAGGTTGTATATTGGCTCTCCACTAAAGGTCTTGGCATCGACCAAGGAGTCCAGCTGCACGACGTCGTTGGCGCTAGCAGCTTTGGTGTACCATTTATTTCCGGCAGTGTTCGTACTAGGACTGCCAGCTTCTGGGCTCCGGATTTTCGAGCCATTTAGGAGAGAACAGCGGTTTGATAAAGGAGGGAGACTGCAGAAGGTGAAGCGAACAATTTGTCTCCAGGTTTGTGAACTCGCGGGCGCTTGGATATTCGCGTACGAAGCGCTGATTCTCGGCTACTTTGTCTATTACGTTGCAAGTGGACATATCTTTGTCGGCTGCGGCTCTGATGTTAAAGACTATATCTTCTGCGGCGGTGCGGTCGTCATGTTCTGGCTGCTTTTCGTCCTCATGGGCGCTTTTGCCAGATTTCGGGAACATTTGAAAATGCAGTTAGGTGCATTCAAAGAAAGCGATCAGACAGGTGACGTCAAAGCACACATGCTGAGATCGAAGATGAAGCGCAAAAAGCGTCAGCAGCAAAAGAACGGCAACAGTGCGGAGTCCTCTGCACTGACTTCCACTAAATCGACTGTCGTCAAGGACGTCCGAAAGAGACTTTATCGGGGAGCCCAGCTCGGTGATCTCAGGCTGATTCATCGCTCAATTCGTATTGCAAAGCTTTACCTTGGCGAGAACTTTGCGAAAGAACTATACCCCGACCCGGTTATGGTGTTTGGCATATTTGGGCTTGCCAAGAAAAACCCAATGCATGTGGCCGCGTATCAAGGCAACATCGCAGCCATGGAAATGCTGTACAAGGCGCATTTCCAGGTCAACTCGTTCGACAAGGTCTCACGTGTACGATTTACCACGGGTGATCTCTTTTTGTACCTTGCGAGCTACTTTATCCAGAAACCCGTTGTCTCGGCTGACGAGACGTATAGCTCCGTGTTCAAGACAACGCTGGTGACACCGTTGCATTGTGCTGTGAGCACTGGTCGTCTCGCTGCTGTACGGTGGCTCATTGCTCACGGAGCCGACGTCAACCTTTGTTCAAAATCGTCATACCGCTGCGAAGGTCGCTTGCCTCCTATTTTCTTGGCTGACCATCCTGAGATTGTGCATGTACTGCTGCGGGCAGGTGCGAATCACCTTGCTATTCCCGATCCCGGTCACATGAACACCATCACTGTGTTACAGCTTGCGTATTTGCGAGGTAATTTTGCCGTCGCACAGATACTTGAGGACTGGGGAGGTGATGTCGCACTTACACCACTACATGCAGCTGCTGCCATGGGTGACGTTGCAACGATCCGAAGCTTGTTGCGAAAAAAGGTGAACCCCGACGTTCTTGGCGAGCTGGGTTACGTTGGGCTCAACAAGCGCACACCGCTACATTGGGCAGCAGTAAATGGTGCAGTTGAGGCCGTGGAGATTCTGCTGGCTGCTAAAGCTGATGCCAACTTTCAAGACGTACATGGCCGCACAGCGCTACACTGGGCGGCACGTGTGAATCGTGTCGATATTGTGCGGGTGCTGTTAGCACATGGAGCAGACCCGACGATTGTGGATGATGGCGACATGACGCCTATTACGTGTGCAGCTTGCGCTGGCGGAACAACTGCTAACATGTTCAAGGAATTGGTTGCTCATGGTGGTGATATTAACCACCAACTTCACTCGACAGGTGATACGGCACTGCACTTGGCTGTCAAGCTGGATGATCAGCAAACGGCATTGGCATTGTTGAGCATGGGAGGTGATATTATGCGCACGAACCACAACGGGTTTCGGCCTATTGATTGCACTACGTCGACGAGACTTCAATTCGAGATCAAGCGCGCAGCAGGTACTCGGGACGTGATGATAAGTTATACGCACTCGCACATGGAGTTTGCTTTAAAGCTTCGGAAGTCGCTCGAAGATGCCAGCATTACCGTGTGGCTTGATCTCATGGATCCTAGTGGAATCGGTGGCGGGTCCGTCTGGCGAGAGGAGATTGCACGTGGTATCACAAATGCTGCGGTGGTGCTTTGTATTCTAACAGAAGATTACACATCGTCTGAGTGGTGTCTGAAGGAACTGGCACTAGCGAAACAAGTCGGGACACCAATTATAGCCATTTCTACGGAACATGCAAAAATCTCAGAGGAGCTTCAAGTGTACTTGTATACGCGGCAGCTGGTGCCGTTTGAAAGTGCTATTGCACACGTAACGCATGTAAACGAGAAGGAGATTCGATACGAGTATGATGACGAAGCGTACAAGCACCAGTTGCGGATGCTGTTGGACGGCATGCGTGACGAAATTGAAAAGCGCAAGGAAGATAACATCAAGCGCAACATGCGACGTGCTGAAAAAAACCCAATGCTAGGATCTGTTCATGGAAGTAGCGTTATGCGTAGCCGTCGTCTTTATCGTGCAGCTTCTCGTATGAACAATGCCAACACAAACAGTGTAGACTCGATCAAGTTTGATGAGCGAGCGCCAGCAATGGCAGCGTCCGATATGCCCAACTGCTATGCCTATGAATCGGGTGGATCACCGATTCACGAAATCGGAGATGATCCAGCAATGCCTGTGATTGTCGGTAGCGGCCGTCGTCGTGGTGCACCTGGGTCTGCTCGTTCGGTTGGATCTAACAGCATTTTTTCGACTGGCCTGCCTGGCCCGTGGCTTAGCAACAACTGTGACTACACTAGCACAAATTTGAGTATCTTGAGCAGCACTAGCGGCACAAACAGCTTTGTTGATGATTGTGACGTCCCTGATAGTATTGTGCTCGACACGGGTGGATACTACTTTCACCGAGCACCTGGCAACGACATGCATAAGCACGGGAGTCGCAGAAATGTTATTTTGGAGGGAGGCTTGACCGACGCTGACGGACTGAATGTCAACGACAGCATTGTGGAGGATTTGCAGGAGCTGAGCACGGCCACAGCCGGCGGTGAACAGTTTGTGTTTATCAGTCACGGAGATTACCATCAGCGATTTGTGCGAAAGTTGTGCGTTGAAATGTGCCGCGAGGGAGGTCTCAGGTGTTACGTGGATCGTAAGCACATGAAAGAGCTTTCAACGACGATTGCAGAAGAGGGATCAGAGGAGAGGAAGTCATTGCATCCGATGCTCTCGCAAAATGAAGATATGTCGACGCGCATCCACGACGCAAAGGAAGCTATCCTCAAATGTTCAGCTTTCGTTGTACTCGTTTCTGAGAAAACGCTGGCAAGCGAATTAGTGAAAGATCAACTTGCGTTTGCCGAGGACAAAGGCAAGAATATTCTGCCCGTCGTCGTCAACCACATCGACTTTGGTCTTGACATCAAGTACAGTCTTGCACGGAGCACATTTTTTCATTTCTTTACGAAGGGCGACATGATGGGCTTTCGTCAGTCATTACGACACTTGCTCTATGCGCTGCGTGAAGAAGTCTACGGTGTCGGCGTCGAGGGTCCACTCCGCAGTGTCAATGCTGGTACTCGTCCATCCCGCTTCAAACGCAGTGAGTACCAGCACCCAAGTTTTCTTTCTGGTGGCCGCCCATCCAGCTTTTGTGGTGGCGGTCATGGCAATAGCCGTGATATGCGGCTTCGTGGAGGATTCTCGGCCTTGTGCGACAGCTTCACGTCGACGGGTGGATCCCACAATCCGTTCACGCAGAACGAAGCTAGTCTTCGTATGCGCCATCCAGCTTCAGAAAGTCTCTATTGCAGCAGAAGCTCACGTAGCGATGTCTGCAACTTTAGTTTGCCTTTCACGCGGCCCTCTCAAACTTTTGCAGAAACTAATGGCACGACGCGTAGTATGACATCAGATATGAGCCTAGCTCTGTCAATGTTTGGGAATTTCTCGACACTGGTGGGACGTATCACGGATGACGTGGAAGAGGAGGAGGAAGAAGAAGAGGTGTTATCGTACGCTGGAATACAGGACGATGAGTTTGATTTGACTGACGAGATGGAGGATATGGGAACTGGAGAAGATCGCATCGCGCAAGATGACGCTCCTCCGTTTTCAAGAACATTGCAGCAACAACATCCTGCGTTGGGCGCTTTTGTGAACGACAGCAGCTTCCAAACCCGTCAACGGGGATCTGACTCGTCCGTTAGTATCTTGGAACGCACAGAACCAGCTGGGTGTGTTGACTTTACGGTGCTGGACGACATCCTGGTCAAAAGATAGTCCCGTGCTCGGAAGCATAGACGAAGTTCAAGAATGTGGTTGATGCGCGTTTCGTTCATGTTGCAGTGCTGTTTTACAAAGCGCGTGACTCGTGATTTAGCTTTCTCGTAGCCGTTGAAAAGCAGCGGTTACTTCCGCACGTCTTTCTGGAACCAAGGCTTATGTGAAATCACTAGTCGGCAATGTATTACCAGTTGCCCGGAATTGCCACAAGTGGTTCTCACTGGTAGAGATGTCTATTGATTACTGCTACCAATGACCTAGGTAAATTAAGCCGTATTGGATCAGTTGTACAAAAGAATATTCGTTTGTATTCATTAAACTCAGTTCTTTTCGTCTGTCCATTATTGCTTCAGTCTTAGCGTCTAATCTATAGCACTTCCACAGCACAATCACACCAAGACACTTTATCCGGTCGTGTCTGTGCACAGGAGCTGCTCGAAACACTTGTCCACAAAACAAGCGACTTTTGTGTACACATGTCATTATTCCTGGCAGAGCAGGCTTGCGATAAAACACACCATCTCGAATGTGTCCTCCCAGTGACCGATTTCTGGATAAATAAGCTTGAAATGTAGAATGCGTCGCGATGTTATTTTTTCGCGATGTACTCTAGTACACGCAACTTTGAAGGACAAGCCCTGTTCACGCAAAATATGAATGACACATTTCTTGCAAGCGTTAAAAATACATGCTCATTGCATTAGCAGGAAAAATGTTAGATTGGCGGTCTCAAATCAACAAACATGCTTGTCACGTCAGCCACAGCTCCTTTTGGTAAAGTCCACACGAGGGCTTCAGTTTTCAGACTGAAGCCATGACTTAGCTGGACGTCCATCCAGCTAACATCCGGCCACCGTTGCCTAGAATATCCCGATGGGTCCCTCTGAAAATTACATGAGTTCTGATTCTTTCCATTTCACATCAGCTATTTCCACATCATTATACAGGCATACTCGCCGCATCGTCGTAAAGGTTTTGCCGATCCAACTCAGATCAGGAGACAGGAAATGGAAACACTAAGCAAATTCGTTGTGCAAATCGCGCGTATATGCGCTTTCAAGACGATGCCATCTGATGATGCAAGACCATATTTTAGCAGCCATCAAGCTATCGCGAAGCTTCACACGAGATTGTCATACCATAATAGAAAACGTGTCGAAGCTAAGCTAAAACAAGTATCAAAGTAAAGCTGCTAGTTAGCATTCACCGCGGATCAGTTAAACATCCTACGGCTGCTAGACCGTTGCTTTCGTATTGGAACGTGTCTTATAATACGCAGTATACGCAGCCGGTCATTCGTCCTCGTCGACTATCGCGTCCTAAAAAGTCGTCTGCCTGATAGTGTTAGACAGTCGTTTACGATAATGTATCGTTTACGGTCACCCGTGGTGTGCCGACACCAGCTCGAATGTAAAAGCAAAATTCAAGCCAGCAACCGAAAGCGATTACTTTCAGACGACAAAGCTCAGGAAGACAAGTAACTTACATATCGAAGTAAGTAGCTAGCTAACGATTCAAAAGGGGATTCGATCCACGATTGACGTGTGGTGAGAGCGAATATTAACTCAACTTCAACTAAAGTCTTAACTTTGAGCAAAAGAGTTGTTGTGTCTGCGGCAGACATAAAGTTCGGGTTCTTTAGCTTTTTTTGATGAGGACTACCGACCTTCTCGTTTCATAACAGCTCGGTAAACCGGAGCTGTAACGGGGTGAGCCTGTCACATGTTACGAATTTTGCTACTTGCTAATTTGAATATAATCATAAAGAATGAAGATGCTCGTAGATATCACCGTAACGGGTAATATTTCGAATTACTTAAAGATTGGCTGATATGGGATATCATATCAGCCAGCTCTAGCGGTCCAATCAACGACGGACGCGCGCAATAAGTGGTGAGCAAGACTTTGCCATACACTTCTGTGGATAAATATATTTAATTTAGGACTTAAATATGTACATGTATTTAAGACTTAATCATACTTGATACAGTTTTACTTTCTACTCCTGTTGAACGCGTCGTTCATTAGCTAGCCTTCTTCATAATGTAAAATGTACGTTAAGTGACGCGTGGCATTACCTACACTGTTGCCAGCGTAGGTGTACAAATACTGAAGCATTACCATAGCCCCGCTACAGAAGCCACGTGATCGCATGTTTTGGTCTCCTGGAAATTGCGTAGGTCTTGTGTAGCAGAGATACGCAGCTCCATAAGTCAGAGCAAGACCTGGTGCTCAACGAGAAAGATTAGCTCTAAAGAACTAGGCTCTACGAGTCATCAAGCGTAAAGCTTAAGGTGCGTGTTCCAGGGAACCGAACGATTCGGTGAATTTACAGCACTTAGTGCTCAAGCGTAGCTACCTCAGGGAGACGCTGCTAACTTCTAACGATCAGAGACGCCTCGCACGTGTCTTAGACAGTATCGAAAGGGGCACTGAACTTGGTTTACGTTGAACTCTATAGAAGATCTCAATCCTAATATTACCTGATCTAGTCACTCACGTCCTTAGTCAATATCTTTAGGACTATTCCAATCTTGTGGCTGACACCCGTCAGCCCCTATAAAGCGATAAGATAGTAAATGTCTCTTTTCGTGGATACCAACCCGTGCGTCTAAGACGCAGAGTACCGAGTACCCTGCTATGTGTAACTCCTTTACACCCTTTCCCATCAGACTGCAGTTTACATAAACCTCAACCGAACCCTGTCCCTCAACAAGATCAGTGCTCTTGCGGTTAACCTTTTGTTAAATCAACGCTACATCACCATGTCCGCATCGCTTGAAGAGTCACAGACTCTTCGTGCATACCTCGAGATGGGGAATAGGACTATGGTAGCGATTGCAGTGTCGTTGGTGATACAATGACAACAGTCGATACACCCATGCCTGTGGTACAAACTAGAACTACGTTCATTCCGTTCGCTGAACGTGATGATGCGAATGTACCATTGTATTCTCTGGGCGCACCGCACTCGTTGCCTTAGCAGTATACACTCTCCGAGAGCTCATGTCAGTGTGGTCGATGTGCGTCTTAAACGCAAACTTCGGTATATTTATTCTGAGCTTAACGCAAGAGACCATTTACGCAATCGCACGCGCTATGATTCGGCTACTACGGTAGCCGCAAGTGATAGTCAGAGTGTGAACACTAGCCCGCCAACTCACACCTCTTGTAATGGGAAACGGCCTCGTTATCGAGATTACACTAGCCACGATGCTTAAAAGAATTCACGGCGTAGGGGAAATCTTGCCGAAGAGGTATATCACGATTCCATAATTTCTCCGACTTCGGGTATCTACGCAACTCCACCAGATAGTGGTAATGGCAATGATGACAACGTCGTTTCAGGAGTATCTCCACATGGAACTGGCGGTTCCCTCGCTCACCGAGCAGCGTCTGTGGAGGTCGGCGTACCAAAGGAAAAACATGTGAAGGTTCTTCTTAAACTGATTGATATCCGTGAGACATGATGTAAGAACCAGAGTGCGCTCGGAGCGACGCAAGCTTGAGTTTAGGCGTTTGAGTCGGATCACACCCGGATGTAAGCCCAGGTTGACCTCCAGATTTGGATTTGGAGTTTGCCTTGCCCGTTGGCAAGGCAAGCTTCCGCAGCGCAAGCGCCTCTGAGTTCACATGAAAAGAATCCTGATACGACGTAAGTAAGCCAACGTAGAACACAGGATGTGTGCGCAATTTGCGTGGAGAAGTAGGCGTATACGCAATTCCCTTCTTAGCAACGGCCGTGAGTGGTCCGGTTAATGAAGAATTTAACTTTGTCTCAAATACATCGGACACTACATTTGTAGGTAATTTTTAGCATTAAGCAATACTTGGTCTTTGACCTCATAACTTTCAATTAAATTTCTGTATTTGGCATCAGCTAGTTGTTTTTGTAGATCTTGGCAATCAGCCATTGCGTCACGCACATAGTAAAAGACATTCAATCGCGTTGCAAGAAATTGCCTACCTGTTCTTAAACAGCATCAGGGCTGATATTAGAAAGCCGATCGGCAACCGCTCCCCCACCAAGCCCTGAACCACATAGTGGTAGCGTTAACGGTAATTCGAGGGCTGGTGAGACCATTCACGTAGAACGGAGCAAAGCTAGAAGAGACATGAAAAGCGTTGTTCAACGCAAACTCAACAACAGGGATCATGGAGCACCAACGATCATGCGTATCAGCACAAACACTACGCAAATGTCATTATTGACGCGATTAACGCGATCAGTTTAATTATCGGTCTACGGATGATCCGCTGTGGACATGTCCAACTGGGTGCCGAGCACCTTGAAGATAGACTTTTAAAACTTCCTAGTGAAAAGGGGATCTATACAAGAGACAATTTACACTGGCAAAACTTGTTGTCGAAACACACGGTCGATAAACAGCTTCGCTATACCTTCGGCATCAGTAGAGTACGAAACCGCCGCTAGATGAGCCATCTTTTTAATCGGTCAACAAAGATCGCAATGCCAGTGTTTCCTTTCAAATCTTTTGGTCGACCAAACACAAAGTCAATATTTATAGAATCCCAACACCCAGTGGGTACAGGCAGACTATTTAGTGGCGCCGCCGCATGCGGTGGGGTTTCAATCCGTTGATACGCTTCACAGGTACGCAAATAGTTGCTCACCCACTTGTATATATTTGACTACCAATATGCCTGGCTCACGAAGCTATTGGTCTTTTCATGACCAAGATAAACACTTTTCGTAGTATAGTGTGCCTTAAAATTTATTCTATATTTAACTTCTCACCATGAGGGACAGCGATGCGAAAGGTATCCTTAATATATGCGCGATAGCACAACAGGCCATTATCGATAGAATATCGATGTAGGCTCGCACGTAAACGCGCCGATGATTCTATGTCCGAGTCTATAAAGTCCTCGCTCTTAAAATCACGTAGCATAGCTACACATTGCTCATCCTTGGCAGAAGCCGCAAGTATCAAGTAGCGACTGACGATGACAGCTTAGTGACGTGCAGCTCATAG